GAGATGGGGACTAGGGAGCGCCTAAGGGGGTTCTTATATACTAGAGGGGCTGCTTAGCAACCAAGGACAAGGCGCGAGAGCGAGGCAGTGAAGATGACAAAGAGAGAACAAAGGGCGAGAAAGAAAAGGCAAGGGCATGGCGATCACGGGAACGTAGCATGCGGCCGTGGGAACGTATCTACAGTGTCCAAATTGGGATGGGCTAGAAAAGGAGATGGTCCGCGAATGGAAGGTGGGCGTCAAAGGGAGGGGAATGGGCGGCAAAAAGGGGCGTCTGTCCAACGTCCGTGACACGTCCCGCGTGCTAGTGACCCCTTTTACGAGCTCATGCGCGACGATGCATTAGCGGCGTTGACATAGGTTGAAGCCAGTGATTCAAAGGGAGACATATATTGATCATGGACTACAGATCAGGTAGATACATAGGAGGGTTGAGCTTGCGCGCGGCTCGTAGAACACTTGCTGAGGTAGGCAAGGAGCTGCAGGCTGAGCAGCGTATCTCCGTTCCGTGACGTCTGCAGATGTTAGGACCAGTAGACGAAACCTAGACAAATATGTGCGCAGGGGCTCTGTCCGTTTCTCCTTCCCCGCACACCACATGCACCATGGCCGACCCAGGGCGAGCGACTACAAGTCAACATCTGCAGCGCCTCAACGGCGCAATTGAGGAAATCGAAGATGTGCGTACCGGATGTGAGACAAACCTCAAGAAAACGACGCAGGCTCTGCGTTATCTCCTAGAGGAAAACAAAGCCTTGAGGGCGGAGTTGAAGGTTGTTGTGGACAGGTTGGCCTTCGTGGAGGCAGTCATGGACATTGAGGAAGAGGGAGGGAACGAAGACAGGGCAGAGAGAGCGGGCATAGGGACAGGCGAGGGCACAGGCGAGGACATAGGCGAGGGCACAGGCAATTTGGCGTCGGAACCAGTCCTGGATAGCAAAGCGGTGGCCAACGAGAGTGAGGCACTGGCAAATAGCCAAATAATCAAGGCGAGTACTTACGGGTGCATGTAGATGATGTGATAGAGATAAAAGGATACTATTATCTAGAACGTGGTCAACTTGACATATCTGCGTCTGTCGGGCGTTGAGAAACTAGTCAAAAGATACTTACCCGACTATCCTGGTGAGGATGAAGAGTGGCCACTCGACCCAGCAACCGGTCAGAGGTACCTATGCTGCAAATGGAATGCATCTGCAAGAGATCGCGTCAACACGGAGGGCCTTACGGCACTCAGAGATGCTGTCCGGGCGTCCGGTGCACTGCGCGAGCCAAAATGTGCGCCCTATCTAGGCAAGATTCTCGATGCTCACCTTGATGCACGGTTTGCAGCCAAGTTCGGATACATGGCGCACGAGTACAGGACTTATTGCAAGGAGCAAGCAGTCCAGGTGGGGCAGGCAGGCGAAGGTGGGGCAGATGATGAGGATGCCTTCGGACCAGACCGGGGAGAGGATGAGGACGCTGTAGAAGGGGAGACAGAGGCAGCGCGGCTGCAACGCAGTATCCGGCGCACCCGTGCAGTTACTGTGAGTGATGGCATTGATAAACAAAAGTGATGGTAACACGTGAACACACCTATTCTTGACAGGTCGCTATGCAGCGGGAGAGGAAGGCCAAGGGCACTGCATGGGACGACCCGAGATATGCAGGCGCCTTCTTGGTGAACGCGCAATCAGATTACGAAGACGAATTCAAGGAGGGAGATCGTCCCGCCGGCGTACCTGTGAAAAGCCGGAACCAGAGTCGACAAGTCTGCTTCAACGGTGAGATCCAAGAGAGCCGGGGCAGGTGGCAGAGAGGCCACGACATCGTCGACAGGGCTCGGTGACCGAGAAGAACCCAGAGATGCAGGCGCGCCAAGTGCCGGAACAAGCTCCTGCCCTACGTCGGCGCCGTCAAGTCCCAGAGGAGAATCAGACCTGAAAGAGCCAACCAAGTCATCCCCTGGCCCAGAGAAGGCGGGATCATCATCAAACACTGGCGAAAAAGGTCGAGATGAGTTGCCCGGAGTGGGAGCACTGTGAGGGACGAAAATGTCGTGAGTCTCACTGAATATACCACCACACTCGAGGTTGAGTCTCCCGACACCATCGACAATGTCAAGGCGAATGTGCAACGCATATCAAGATCATTTGGGTCATCAGACACCATGAGAAATGTACTCACCGAGAGGTCGCGCCACTGCGGCTCAGGTCAGCGGGAACGGACCGATCTTCACGCGCAACCGGCGCATATACCCTGTGCTAAGGTTCTCCAGGGCCTTGCTGGGCTGGATTGGGAGCCTGAACTTGAAGTGCGGCACGTTGGCTGGCTGGCTGTGTGGCCGCAAGTCGGCGATCAGTGCGCGCGTGGTTTGTCGTGGTCTGCTTGCTAACAAAGTCGAATCCGTGGATCTGTTTGGAACATTGATGCTTGCAATAACATTGTGTGAAGTCTTGCCACCGTGGCTTGAGAGGCATGAGGTGTGGTAGACGATGGCTGTATGCAGCGATGGTGTATGTGTAGTTATTGCGGGCAGACTCGCTGTGTACATGATGTAATCGCGCGCGCAAGGACGCGTCGAAGGCCGTGACCGCGATATCTGATCAAGCTACAACCGATAACTCCCTTATCTGACGAAAATTCAAGTCTTGTCTTCAGGACATCGAGCCTGCTGGATTGAAATTGAGGGAACATAATGGGAATGTAGTGGTGACGTGTATATACTCAGCATATCCCCCGGGAAGAGGAACATGTATGGGAATGTGGCGGCAATGAGGCGGTAATGCACTCATCCTCTTCTTGTTCCCAACCTCCGTAATCTGGCGCTTCGCGCGGTGTTATGCAAGGCGCTGTAGTCGCCCTCGCTTGTCCCTTCAGCATTAGAAGCGCCCGTTTCCCGATATGGTAAGCTCTGCATAACGAAGGGGTGCGGCTAACGTGCTGAGTTACCTCGGGACTTAAACTCCATGGTCCGACGGTGTGTGTAAAAGCCGCGCAGGGGCCTATCGTTTTGAAAACAGCAAGTATATCGACGTACTACCTATTCTCCTCTCAACGAATCGACCTGACCGTCTTGGCCCTCATGATCGCCAATCTCTCCACAACTCGGATACTCCAGGCGACTCGGATGCTCGGTCCTCTGTATCGTTGAACCACACGTTGCATTTCCGGCCAAATGGGTTCGTCAAGGGGCAGGTGTCGCGGTGGAGGTTATCCACATCACTCTGGAGAAAGCGGAGACCTTGCATGCATCCGTGGCTCTGCATCTAGAGCATGTCGGGGGAGAAGGCGAGCCAGAGCTATCTGGAGATAAGCTAGAGCAAGAAGACGGTGACGAGTAGTCAGGTCTCAGGAGCAAGACGATCATATCCGCGAGCCTCGATTGAGACGTGACTAGCTGGGATGCATAGAGGACTTATGGATGAGCTGGGCTGGAGGGCCGTCAAGGACTCCGACAGTGTTATCAAAGGAAGTTAGTGCATTATTCATTCAATCTCCATCTCCGTGTCCAACCACCTTCATCAATATTGCGTGACATGCCATTGCCTTACCAATGCGTCCCGAGTTGACATCTATCAGACCTTCAATTTCTGTCATAGCTGGTTCGGCCAGAACCGTGGCCACATTGATAGACAGGAACACAGCTGTGAAGTCCGGGCCTCATCAGCTCGTGCACGGGCCAACCCTTGTACAGTCAAGAGCCTCAGGATGGGTGAAAACATACGTAGCAGTTTGCCCAGAAGATACTTTGGACGCATCATTCAAAAGGCCGTCGCTATCTGCTTGCGTCTGTGATCAACGGAAGGGCACGATAGCAGATCAGGAAGACAGAACGTAAGGTAAGTGGTGAGCCGTATATGGCACTGGAGTCAGGCTCGAACGCACTCATCACAGCTTCTTGCCTAGATTTTTGTGGCAAAAAAGCCGTGCCTGATCATGTGTACGGCAGCAAGGAAAGGGCAGGACCCAAAGAACCTCTGCCGTACGGCCGAGGAGGGAGGATTGGTGGAGGAAGGGGCTTCTCATGAAAGACACCCATATGTCGCGTCCACCGTGACCGCGTGAGGCGTCTTCAGGGCTTCTCGATCCACGCGTTCCGCCACGCCAGGACTAGTCTTACGCCTCGTTGCTCTTCTTCTGGCCGAGGTCGAATCTTACGCACCTTATCGCAAACATTGATGTGTCTACGATCATTCTGTCCCGTGTGCTGCGGTAGATCACCATGACATTAAGTACGATCATGCCTGTGGCGTCCCGTCAGTGTGCTCGCCTGCACATACTACAGACTCATCTTTCAGCACCCCTATGGCCATCCAGAACGACTATCGACCTCCCAACACGTTTCGAGGCGACGATGGAGGCGGTAAGCAGACCGAAAGCCTTCTTATGTTCTCGTGACTGAATGGATGAGACAGGCACGAGAGAGACACTGCCTCCTGCTCGCGGTGAACACGACACAGACTCTCCTGGACGACTGGATGGAGAAGCGAACCGTCCTGAGGGCGCTTCCAACTCGATCTCAACCGCGACAGCCGATCGCGACAAACCTGAGCAACATGATACAGACTCTCCTGGACGGTCGAATAGAGAAGCGAGTGGGAGCAACGGTCCTGGGGGCGCTCCCAACCTGAATCCATCCGCGACAGCCGATCGCGACGAACCTGAGCAACACGCTGACGAGGCTCGCAAGGATGCTAACGAGGGAGACGGAGATGCGCAAGGGTCCCAGACGTCACCTCTCCCATCTCCGACTTTCGACATCGCGACTTTCGTCCCCGGCTTGTATCGCGTGCTTGACTTGATCTTCGAGAGGGGTAGTGGCGGTCTAGGTCAGGCTACCGTGTTCAGGGCATCGTATACCATATGACTCACCTCCTTTACAGTCGACAAGATCATCATCGAGCAGGAGTCTCTCGGTCGTCTCATCAATTTCCTGCGGCCCAACGCCTACGCCTCGATCACAAAGGTCGACTTCTCTGCGCTTGACCAGATCCAGGTGAAGCCTGTGGGATTGTACGGAAGCAAGTCAGCCATCGTCGACTTCCTCCGTCACAAGGGCATTGTCGACGAAGAGATGTGAGTTTGCAGCCGTTCACGTGTGTTTCCGGCATGCTCAATAGATGCCAGAGCTTCGGCCATGCTCCAGCCCACAGATTCCTCTGTCGACCCGACCCGACCCGAGCTCCGGTCAGGAATGTACATTCACCTCCGAGAAGGTGAAGAGGTGATGCACGTCATCTACTGGCCTGAGGACACCACGTGGGACGACGACTGCCTGCCATCCGTGAGCAGGAATAGGATCACGTTCATGAGGTGAGAGGTCGCCCATCCCGAGTCGTTCGACGCATTGACAGTATTGCATCATCTAGATATCTCAACAAGATCTGCGACCAGGTGATCTGTTTCATGTCGGACGAGCACGCGAATGCCATCATCTGGCGAGGCGACGACCCCGACAGCGACCAAGAAAGCTTGGATGATGAGGACGCCGACCGGCTGTTCACGTTCGAGGTCTCCAAGACCAACGAGCAGGAAGAAGGCGTCACAGTCAGGCCAGGCTTCGAGGTGAGCGGAATGGGTTCACATCAAAAGAGAATTCAAGCCGATTCCTGTCAGCTCCCCACCCCGATTCTCTCCGCAAGCAACTCGGAGAATGCGTCTACTTTATCTGACGTTCTACGCCCGCGTCTCATGAGGGGCGAGATGGCGCAGGGAATCCTGACAGCGCAGTATGTTGCAGAGCAACAGAGAGTCAATCACCTCAGAGAGTCCGTATCGGAGCAACGCTTGAAGGATCTGTTGTAAGTTATTATCTGGCCCGTATCGTGCGCAGGATCTGTCTCATGATTATACAGGCAGAAGAAAGTGATTCGATTGCGCGAGACGCTCTCCTGTCAGGCCCTGGAGATACTCTTCAAAGCGAAGTATAGCTTTGACCCGACTCTACATGACGCCATCACGCGGTACCGGAGCTCAGTCGCAGATGTCAAGCGGTCTATGGCAGAGACACGGAAGAAGGAGCTGGACGCGATGTTGAAGCGCATCGACGAAGACAGCGGTCAACTTGCCGCCAGCATCAAGGAGTCGCTATCGTCTCAGGTTTTGCAGAAATTTCCGTACGTATCGCCTTCCATTATGTTCTCTGCGCGTATTGAAAGACCATCCAAAGCCTGCTGGCCAGTCGTAACACCATCCAGCAATCCGATGCCGCTGTTGAACCTAGAAATGTGCCCCTTCCTCTGGATAATGGTATGGATGCCTTTTTATTGACGCACCTGTGTGTGGCTGAGCCATACTTAGAAGACATCCGTGGCCTACGCACCGTGTACGAGGGCGTCGGGCGGTTGATAGACGAGGTTCTTGCTATTCAGAAACTCAACGGCGTGACCACGGACAGGTACAAGACTATCAAGGAGCGCATCCTCGTACTCGATTACTTGCTGACCGCTGATACCGGCATGAGCGAGAAGGAGCGTGCTGACCTCGTCGTGTCCACACTTCGGGACGGATATCCCAAGCCCTGGCAATCTCGTGCGGGTTGGTCGAGGAAGGTCGTCGGATTCATGTTTGGTGGTACAGACTCCTCCACACCACGTACCATCGATGTACCCGAAGATGTCCTCGATGTCGATGATCAGGCCTTCTTCTCACGTCTGCCATCCATCGTTGATCGTTCTCCCCTTCTAGCCGAGCCTGCGGCAAGTGCCACTGAGCTTGCAGCGCAGCATTTCTCGACCACGATCAAAAAGGAAGCGCAGGATCTCTCTAGGCGGATACGGACTATCCAACGCGACACGTGCAAAGCTCAAATCACGCGACAGTCTCAGATTGACGAGGAGAACCAATTGGAAGCTTTGCGAGTGGATATCTTGGCCACGTTGAGGTCGAGTCCAGAGAGTGTTCATGCCAAGTGAGGTGCCTAGTGAACTTCCTTGATACCTTTTCCTGACTCAGACGTTCAACAAGGGATGTCATGACAATCAACGATATTGAAGAGGAAGCACAACCATGTCAGTATCGTTGGCTATGTCTGTGATCTGCAGACTCACCTTCTGCTAGGGTCATACTCGTCATATTCATATTCCAGAGCCACGTTCTATAGGGTCGACACAACGAGGGAGACGTACACTGAACCTCAAGTCCGATATACGCTACATCCTCTTGAACTCCGAGAAGACGACACTCACCGTATGCGAGAGAACGCAAGTCACGTTCCTTCTCCTCATGTGCGCGCATCCTCCACAACCTCCTTCATTTTACCCGTGGATACATCCATCATGTGAGTAGACATCGGCTGTGATGAGATGATAATGTGTTTCTAATTCAATGGGTAGTTACGCCCATTTGCTCCCGCAAGCCCGCTGTCTCTTGATCACTCGGGACCGCACAGGCGAAGGCAAGGTCTATTTGTCTAGTACCATGAACCTCCAGGCGGCGCTCGACAAGCGACCATCTAAGGAATTGAAGCGCGACAAGATCGGCGAGAATTTCTTGCTTGCTTACGATGAGAACAAGCGCATCTTGGCCGTGTGCGGTCTGTCGAACATGGGTGTAAGTCTTCTGCCTCGGGTTGTGCTAGTCCACCTCCGACTCATGTCATGCAGCGAGATTCTCGCTTGCAGTTGCATACTTTCGCTTTTGACGAGACATACACAACGCTTCAAGGCATGGGAACGCCAGTCAACCTCAGCTCTTGGTATGATTCCGACACCGTGGTCATCAAGCACGTGGAATTTGTCAGCGGTAGCGAAGAGCTTCTCTTCGTCGATGACCAATGTCGTGCACGTATCTTCTCGCTTGTGACACAGCAATTTCGGTACGACCCAGACCTCTCATAGGTTTGAACGTTCACTAAACCTGCGACTTGCCAGCCCCGCTACGCTACAGCTATTGAACCGGCCCTCATCAATTCATTCAACGCCAGATGGGTCATGTTTCTTTGCCATCGATGAGCCTACCGAGGACGCCGACACTGTTGCTGTGCGAGCCTTCCACTGGACTAGCTTCGACTCGCCGGAAGGCATCAAGGTGACCATACCCAAGAGGTTTCTAGAGGGCTGTGTCGTGACGTCCCTGCTTTCACGCGAGAACGTCTATCTTTTGGGCATTGACCACGCCAATTCTATGCTAGGATCTGCCGCCTTCACCATCACTCGGAGAATGACGGCTTTTACGTTCAAGGAGAAGGGTGGGACAGCGTCTGGGCGGAAGGAACAGACAACAGTTCACAACTCTCTCATCGATTGCCACGCAGCTGTCTGGACGCGATTCCCCGTCGTTCCTGCGGTCCGTCGGGACACCGTCGTGTCGACGCTGCGCGAGCGCCGCTCGCTCGTCTTTGTCTCGAAAGAGAATCCTTCATCTATCGAGCCTCACTTCTCAACACTCATCGAGGAGTTCGAGCGCATGACGCACAAACCCACTGGCGGCGAACTCAAGAACATACAAATTCTCGCTCTTTCTCATGACACTTTCTTCTTGGACAGCTCTCTCGTCCATGCATCTACTTTCCGGGCAGGCGAATGGCTTGTTGAACTCTTGTGCCTGATACCCATCCATATCGCCATCACTAGAGACAATCGTTTTGTGCCGCTGAAGGATGGAGTCTGGTCTCCTGATGTCGAACGCTCTCTGCTAGGGGCTGACGTTGCCAAGATTGTCGACAGCATTTCCTTTGGCTGGTATGAGTCGCTCTTCCAGTCGTACATGGCGAAGAAAGTCAGTACATTTCCCCATAGTCTTCTGCATGTGATTCACCCGTCTGCAACCCCGTAGCCCGTCAAAGTTGTCTCTTCCATGGGTGAGGAGATGAGACTGCTGTCGCGTCGGGTGCAGCTGACAGAATGTCAATTTCCAGGTGAACAGTCCGTAGGCAAGAGTTTCGCACTCAACCACCTTGTGGATACCTCCTTTGCTGGCTCCGCGATGCGGACAACGGAGGGCGTGTGGATGTCTGTCACGCCCACCGACGAGGCCCTCATTGTTGCTCTTGACTTCGAAGGTTCGTCGCTCGCATGACTTTGGTTGACCACCCTCATTTGACGGTTCCCTCAAACATTAGGTGTTCACAGCATAGAGCGTTCCGCACAAGAAGATACCCTACTGGTTTTGTTCAACACCGCAATCTCGAATTTGGTATGCGTGCCCGTTGATCCTCCCTCGCAGTACATGTCTTGACAGCTTTGCGCAGGTCCTTTTCCGTAACAATTTCGCAATGTCTCGTGACATCGCCGGGTTATTTCAGTCTTTCCAGTCTTCCGCTACAGTTCTCGATCCTGATGCAAATCCAATGCTCTTCCAATCAACTCTGGTCATCATCATCAAGGTGACCTAGGCTATCAATTATCTGTAATACCTCCTAATGAGACGTACGTGTAGGACGTTGCTCCTCACGATACCAATGATATCAAGAAGGAGTGCGTTGTTTATGTCCTTCATTTGACGTCACCGTGCCTAAAACTACATCCCAGATTCCACATGAAGTTCCAGCAGATCGTTCAAGCTGAACAGGCGAAGAACTTCATCTCGAGGTTGCACCGAAATAAGTTGGATATCGTGCCTTGGCCCTTGATGGGGCAAAAACAGTTCTATACCCTCTTCAGGGTTATTAAGAAGCGGCTGGACCAGCAAGCCATTACTCACCATGGGGGCGCAGTATTCTTGCAGACGATGAAGACACTCATGGCGAAGTTGAAGGTACGAATACCTCGACTTTAACTCTACTGAGTCATCCGGTATACTCATATATTTCCCAGGCCAATGACTGGGGTGCAATGTCTCGTGAGCTCACACATCTGAAACACATTGGTTCGTTCATCGCTAAATTCTATTGCCCTTCTACAGAAAACCTGGCAGCTCATCGTGTACATGTGCTCGTGTCCCTTCTACCCAATGCGCTTGCCTTTGGCGCCACTGAGGTGGTGCCTGACTTTGAACCCCTGCTAGTACGTAAACCTCTATTCAGGGTTTCTGGTAATATTCTGAAACATGTATCCATGTTTGCCCAGGACTTTGATACCGCCTCTGTCATTGATATGCAAGACACTACGTCGCGTTTCTATTTGGGCGAAGGAGGTCCGCAGGGCCAGCCCGAGAGCTGCGATGAGGTTCTTCGTGGCATATGCGAATCATTTGACGAAGATGGTACTCGCTTCTCCCAGCCGGAGGCAGATTGGAAACAGTCCCTTCAGACATTCCTGGACCATCTAGTGGACATCCGGGTCGAGCACGTGCGAGGCTGGCTGAACGCTAACACGTCCAAATTCGGTTCCACCCACTCTGAAGTGCAACAACTGTTCCGGACATTCGACACAGCTGTCATCGACCTCAAGAGTAGTGTTCGAATGTGCAGTATCCAATGCGGCTCCTGCAATCTCAGTTGTATCCTCGGACGGCACCATGAGGGACAGCACAGTTGTCGAACCGACCACCGTTGCGTACATGTGTGTGAGTTCAAAGGAGCTGATCATGGGGAAACAGAGCCATGTGGGCTTCCGTATGTCTATCCTCTTCCTCAGTTTCTCCTTTCCCACTCTGAATCAACTATCACAGAGCTGGTCATCCGGGATCCCATCTGTGAGTTCTGCCTTTGCCAAGTTATCGGTGCTTACCTGAGCTTAACAACGCAGCTGCGACGTAACCGCCCATTTGTGTGGACAACCTTGCAAGCTCAGTAGCAAGAAAGGCTGTCAGAAGGAGTGTATTAAGGTGGGGTTTTTTATTTACCTATGACAAGAGAGAATGGAGCAATCTCATCTACCTTTTTGTTAGATGGCCGATCACACAGACGGAGAGCACATGTGTTCTGCAACCTCGCATGAATGTGGGATGGTTCGTCATTATCGACCTACGTCCTTGTACGGAGTCTGATGAAAATTTCAGCCGTGCAGTCTCGCTACTATCCGCCTCCACAACGGGTGGGTTTATAACTGTGAAGGACGGTGCCGTATCCCAAGGTTTGTCGCTCTTGTCTCACCGGGTCAGTGCATGCAAATTGAAGACGCAACATTTATTGTAGCGATCTTCCTCACAACGAGCATCGTTGTGAGAACACGCAATGCACCATTGATTGCCAGTTGTGCAAGCGGCTCTGCTCTGAGCATGATCACCTGCATGGTCTTGACTCTGATGCCGTCCACCTTTGCGGGTATGCATAACACGAGGAAATTTGAGCGGATGTTGGATTTACAAGTCTATTTGTAGGCAAGAGCATCCATGTGCTGCATTGTGTCAAGAAGGAGTGTGTCATGTGGACACGGCACCACAATCAGTCGAAGCAACATTCACTGGTAGGCATGAAAGCTTCCAATACACCAAGGTTTGTCCCCGTTTCTGCTCCTGCAAGAAGTGCTCAGCTTATTCTGTTTGGTTTGCAGTATTCTCAGGGTGAGATTTCGAAAGTGAGGCGCATCGTTGCTGCCACTAATATATACCGTCTTCCACGCGGGACTATTAGTCATGAAGCGCCTCCCCTGCGTAATCCCCATCGCTGCAGGTGAGGTCAAGCATGGAGGCAAGCATAGGCACGACATGGGTCCCAATCCCTTCCACTACTGTCAGGAGCAGTAAGGGCCAGGTCGCTTGTACATGCCTGCCTCCGGAGCTTACGTCAATGACAGGTGTCCAGACTGTGGCTACTTTTGCACTCTGCCTCTGGGTATGTCTTGTGTCTCGTTCTGTTTCTTGTTTTGTATGATGTATAACTGATATATATGTAGGCCACCCACAACAAGAACATGAGACTAGCCATGGCTCCATGTCGAGAACCAAATGGGCCGTCGACGGCGTGGATGGCACTGTGCTTGAAGTGAATGGCCGCAAATTCGGTTCCAACGATGATGGCGCACCAATGCTCTGCTCAATGTACTGTCGGTCCATGGGTCGTCATGTTCACGTAGATTGGTGTCGTGCTGATGATCCTTCGAAATGCGATGGACCTGAGCATGAACACATCAAGGCGCTTATGCTGCCGAAGAGGAACAAGGCCAAGGATTGGATCACTCACAGCTTGTATTGGAAACGTACGGGTAAGCACCGACTTTTCAATTACTCCTGAGTGCGTCGTTAACTAGATTTGTTGCTCAGGTTTCAAGGGTACGGCGTTCTGATACTCTCGCCGACAGATGGCGTTTTACATCTAACTCTCAACTAGATCCATATTCGCAGGAAGATCAAGCCGAGTTCGCCAGATGGTAAGTAGCATGGCTTGCTTCGATGACACGACTTTGACGCTCCTGTCGTAGCGATAGAATGTGCGGTGGTGAGTATCAGACATCATCTAGCTGCATGTCCACCATACATATATGTGCCGCCTGCAGGCCCCGAACATGATTCCATGACTCACGCCGGGGCCAAAGTCTCCTACTGCACTTTGCCCATCCTCCATCGTCGCCAGCCACTTGACCAGGTGCCCGCCAATGGCTTGGGGTATGTATCCAATGACGGCCACGCTTTCTCATGTCGGAATCCAGCCGTACTCCGTCAAGCATTCCATGTGTATGCCAATCCAACTTCTATGGACTCTGTCTGTGATATACTCACTGCTCTGCACCGCATAGCATCTTCGCCATTGACAGGTTGGTCATGCATACCACCTCTGCACAAGTGATTCACATGTCTCTTAGATCGGGTTCTATGAGCGCCGGGGATCGTCGACCACTTGACAACACTCCGACAACGCAGCTCATCCGCAGAAGTCATAACAACCGACTTGGAGCTGCCTATTCTTCCCTTCATGGTTTTTGGGAGGCGCGACACCGTGCGGTCGCCGTCAACGGGGGCAACGCCCGGAGAGACGCATACTCGGTGATCCTGTTTGATCACAGCGTCACTACCGTAGTCACACACGACTTCAACAGTTCGCCAACTGAACTCCTGAACGCTGTGTTGCGCTACAGGACAGATGGAGGGACAAATTTCACATTGGCTATAGAGACAGCTCGAGCGTGCATGGAGAGGCACTGGAGTACTGAGCGGTAAAGATATTATAACATCTGATATACGTGCACCTCACTGATCGCTGTTTCTGCAGCGTGCCTGTGGTCATCTTCCTCTCGGATGGAGAATGTGGGATTGCAGACGAGACTATGCAGGATCTCTGCAGGCGGTCGATCGCTCTTGGGTCAGCATCTCCAGGTGAACTACTGGCTGACAGAGCACTGACCAGTACTCAGAAAACCACTGTCCTTCCACGCCGTCTCGTTTGGTCCTAATTCTGGTATCATGCAACGTATGGCTCAGATTGCTCGAGACGTCGAGAGTGGGGCTCCGCAAGACCCGTTGAATCCGCATGCTGGTGTACCTTCGTCATACAATCAGGCCTTAGACACGGTGCGTGCTCATCGCTACTTCCCTCTCGTATAGTCCACTTGATCTCTTGAATCCTACAGGTCCGGCTCGCAGAAACGTTCCTTGGTATCGCGGAGTCCCTGACTAAACCTAGGGGTGCTCTGTTCCGTGGATGAGAGGTCGACGCAACAACGAACTGTGTGTATCTCTACCGCAATTTGGCCGCATGTCGCATGAACTCTCCTGTACAAATATCGCATCGCAATCGCTACTGGCACGCTCCTCCCCCTCTGTACGAACTCGTCGACTGTAATTTGGGAAATCTCTCTTGTATTATGCAATCGTGGATCTTATGACACGTTCCCCGTGTGTATGCCATACCTTCATATCTCAGGGCCTTTGGTGCAGAGGTATTGTGCTCAATACAACGCGCCTTCAGGTGGGCGTGCAAGTCTTAAGAGTCCGCAGGAATGGGAACATGCGGATATCCTATCGTCACACATTACAATGTACATATACGGATGCGGATGCGGGACCAGCGTGCTTCGGTGCTTCGGAGGTGGAGGTGTAACTACAGATCACTCAGCACTATGCGGTGTAACGTAAGAGTCGTTCCCCGTCGGGGAGAAAGGGAGACGGCTCGTCTCAGATGATTTGCGGTGCGAGAGGTGTCACGGTATGCTGTCAACGGAGCTGAGACGGTGGCCCAGACATAAGTCGAGAACGACGATATATAACGTCGCGCGATAGGGGGATAGGGGGACGAGGATGTACACGATGCCCACCTCGCATCTCACCTCGTGGAGGGCCGGTGGGCGTTCCGCCGCTCCGCCTCCAAGACGACCTTAGGCCCGCGTTTCGCCATCGTCCACAAGAACAGCGCGACGACGACGACGAACTGAAGCCACAACCACGCCTCGATCACGTAGCCGACGAGGCCCTCGTGCTGCCCAGCAAGCGGATCCGCCACGGACCCACCCTTTCGGACAGTCACCGAGCGGTCCGCCTCCGCACACGCCTCGTCCTCCTCCTTTCGCCGTACCGGCTCCGCCGCAGGAGGGGGAACATCCGAGACTCCCGACGCGAACGCCGGAGGGGAGAACGCGCCATTGCTCGCGACGCGCCTGATCCGTCCCGCGATGTTGTCGAACGTCTCCCCGAGGACCTCGGGGTGCACGTTCCGGAAGAACGCGGACGAGCGCCGGCCGAGCGACGAGGTAGACGCAACCGAGAGCGATGGCTCCACCCCGTCGGACGTGTCCTGCCAGGAGGCTGACTGCGGGAAGCGACCCTCGATCCAGCGGTTCGTGCGCGCGCGTACAGTCTGAGAGAGCTGGAGCTGCCGCTGTTTCGACGCGGGCGAGCGGGCCTTCTCCGGGGTGGGAGTGGGCGGTTCAACGTTCAGCTGCAGAGGTGCGCGCGGCGGTGTGGATGGGTCTGGCTTGTCCCATGTTGCATGGTCCTCTTCGACCGCGGATAGCGTGATCGGAGGAAGGGTGGCAGCGGATGCGCTGGGAGAGACGGGCGATGAAGCGAGACCGGTGAGATCATAGAGGCTGCTCGCGCGCAGATGATGGTTGATCCCGCCTTGTGCCCAGTCGTCGCCGTAGTCACTCCCGAGCTCGCTGCCTAGGCTCCGTCCGCGGACCAGGCCGTCGACTGGGCTTTGCGAAGCGCTGAGTGACGGGGACAGTGGTGTGAGCCCACCTTCCGTCGCTGCGGACGACCATGCAGGCGTCACATCGGACGGTGGTCGGAAGGCAGGAGAAACCTTGAGCATGGGCGGATACTCGCCCCATCCAGCGGAATCGACACTAGCATCCGCATCAGAGTCGAACAGTCCGACCACGGTCTTGCGGGCTTTGCTGTGAGCGACTCGGTTCGCGATAGCACCTTGCACGGTGCTCTGCATGTCTCTAGTGATACCTCCTGCGAAGACGTCGGATTCTGGGGGATTCAGGAGGTTGCTCATGCTGCCAGCGATCGACCTCCGAAGACTGCTGAAGCGAATGGTATAATCTGCAGGCGATGGGGAGCCCGGATCCCGCGGTACGTCGAGGTCTTCCTCCTGGATCTCGAGATCGACATCTCCGTCATCCAGGAATTCGTATACTCTTCGTATGCTCTCCACATCAAATTGGGTGGCTCGCACGCGCTCTTCGGTCAGTGTCTGTTGCTCCTTGATCTGCACATTCGTCTCCTCTAGTTCACGGATCTTCGACAAGAGCTGTGCAACAATCGCATACTCGGCTGGAGGGAGATCGACACTGGAACCAGGAGGTGTAGGGAAATAGGAGGCGGGATCAGCAGGGAGAGGTGGATCGTCCTCATCAAGGCAAGCGTTACTCGGTGAATGTGCAGCCGAATAATCAGAACCAGAAAGAGAGCTGCCAGCGAATGCAGAAGAATTGCTCGCGGTCCGCTTAACGGGGCTTGACCGAGGCAGGTAGTTGGGAGGGGCGAAGTCCTTGACCTCGTCCGGAGCGCTACCGAACGCTGCTTGAGACGTAGACCTGTCTTTGAGGGCTTGCAGGCGTGCTTCTCGCTCCTCTTTCCGCTTCTGTGCAGTGACCGCATTCGTCGCAGCCCTCGCCTGCTGCTCGAGCTCGATGCCCCGTGCTTGCATCTTCTCAAGCTCATCGCGGAGAGTTTGGATCTCTTCTTCGAGCTTGCGGAGCTTTCGCTTACCGGCTTGATCTGCCTTCAGGGACTCGGACTCGAGTTTTTCGAGCTTCTCGATGAGCTCCGCGTTCTGGTCGGACAGAGAAGCGAGATCCGCGGGGGTGACGGATACTCTGCGAGCGCGGCGGTAACGAGCGGCGAGGCTTATAGGTTGTGAAGGAGGGTCTGGAGAAGCGGGAAAAGCGACGGACGCGAACGAAGGAGGGTCGATAGAAGGGATGTCTAGGTGCATCTGGGATGCGGGGGGCGAGGTTACAGGTGTAGACCCCGAGCTGGGGAGACGAGCGAGCAAAGCCTCATGCTTCGCCTTCAGCGTAACGTTGTCGCTATACAACGACTTGCACAGCTCGGCTGTCACGGTGAGCTCTGCGGGCGTTGCAGCGAAAAGCTCAGACGCGGAGACGAAGAGGATAGTCGTGATACCGCACCTGACTCGCGGGACTTGATGATGCCGCCCGCCTTGAGCAACAGCTCGGACAGCTCCTCGCGCGATTTCTCGTTCATCCAGTCCTCGACCCCTGGCGTACCCGGAGGTCCAATGCTATCCGCGCTCTTTGCTGCAGCGTTCATCAGGTGCGTAGTGACCGTAACAGGCGAGTCCAGTATCATTTCCTCTAGAGGTGGGGCGTGAGGAGGTGCTACGCTGTCTCGATGGAGCGGTGCGAACGTGAGCAAGGTCGACTTGCGAGCCTTCGCGGGAGGAAGAGGGCGGCGGGTCGAGGAACTCGCTGACGCAATGCTGGTAGACAACATGGTTGTTCTGGTTGCAAGAATCAACTGGTCAGGAGCAGCTGGTCAACGCAAGTGTCGAGATAGGGTGACAGAAGCAAAGAACCAGACCCAGAATGTAGAGCAACGTCTGCCCCAAGCGCGCGTTCCAGTCCAGATATTACGCCAGAATGTGGTCAAACACCTGGCGATGGTGAGCGTCGTAGAGGCTGCGGCGTAGCAGTTCCAAGCAAGTGTGCGCGGACATCCCCAACGCGAAGAAGACGGCTGGGCTGGACTAGTGAGTCTCCTGAATCCCGCCTCAACGCCCAACGTCTTTCACGTGCCACTTACCCGCGGTCCTCTGGTACAACACTTCAGCGTTATCCTGGGTTCATTCATGAACATGTTTATACCATAAAGTATGCTGCTCCAATCATTCCCTGTATCCTAGACTCAAACTCCGCACAGCAGGAGTATTCTACCTCGTCAGCTAATCACCGCCGGCTCGCTGCAACCAAGCCAGCCGCAACCGGAAAGTATTCCTTCAGGTAGTAGCATTGATTAGGGCCACCCACATCCCGATTTACTGTAGTTCGATGCAAGACAAGCTCTCCTCTTATGCGTCTGCGTCTCTTACCACTACCTAAACAACGTATGGGATGCACGCCGACGGGGCGTATAGTAGTTACACCCGTAATGAGCCAATTGTCATCGCAACTAGTGACGCGGACTTCGTGTCGGGAAGACATATATAGTTTGCATGGCGACTTTACATTGCGACACATGCGCAGTCAGGAGGAAATTACAGACGAGACAACCATGTCTTCGGAATGCAGGGAATACAGGGAGCGATGCATGGCGTGCAAATGACCTAGCCAATCTTCATATGTACAAGGCAAGAATGAATGCGGTGCGGAGTTGCATATGCATGAAATACGTGGTGTCTATCTACTTTTGCTGGCCTTGTCCTGAGTTAGAACCGAACGAGAACGCGCCACCAGACGGCGCTCCGAAACCAAACGCGTTCGTGCCCTGCTGACCGGCGGAAGCAGGAGCACCGAATGGGGACGCCGCAGGGGCAGCATTAGAGCCACCCGCAGGCTGCGAGCCAAAGCCGCCGAAAGCGGAGCCCGACGCAGCCGGAGTGCTACCTGAGTTGGCGGTGGTGGACGACTGACCGAAATTAAACGAGAACGATGCTTTGTTCTCGGTCCCACTTGTCGTCGAACCTGAAGCTGGCGTAGCGGATGATGCGGCTGTGACATCCGCGGGCGCACCGAACCCAAACGTGGGCTTGGAGGGCTGGCCAGCCGGAGTACTCGTGGAGCCGAAGGTAGGCGTCGATGTGGAGGATGCGCTGAAGCCGAAGACGGGCTTCGACGCCTGCGAGTCGGCCTTCTGCGCCGTGCCGAAGGGCGATGCTGAGGAGGTCGATGAAGTTGTGTTCCCGAACGAGAATGCCGACTTCGGTGCGCCATCTGCTTTCGCTGCGCTGCCAGGAGCGGCACCCAAGGTAGAGTTCGCGGCTGGCACGCCGAAAGGCGACGACGATGCACCGGAGGCAGGAGCACCGAACGGTGACGGATTCGCGATCGACGAGGACGTGTTCCCGCCAAGCGAGAAGGCCGATTTGGCGGGCTCTGCGGGCTTGTTCGCGCTATTCGACGCGGCACCAAAAGGCGACGCACCCAAGGTTCCACTGCTCGTAGTTCCGAATCCGAAGGCGGACTTGCTTGCGTCCGACGGTTTCGTGGCGTTGCTCGCAGCGACGCCGAAAGGCGACGCTGTTGCGGACGTGCCCGAAGCAGCACCGAAGGGTGATGCCGTAGTGGTTGCACCGCCGAATGGGCTCGAGTTGGAACCGGGCGTGCTGGTGGCACCGAAGGAGAATGGCGACTTCGCTGCCGAGGAAGCAGCCGCTGCGCTGGAGGTACCAAAGGGATTTGCGGGTGCAGATGTGGAGGACGTCGCCGGCTGTGCGTTACTGTTGGTCACACCGAAGCTGAACTTTGGTGTCGAGCTTGCAGGCGTGGACGACGACCCAGGGGCCGGGAGAATTCCCGAGACAGGCGGGGCATTCGCAGCAGGGATAGGAGTCGTGGAGGCGCTTGCCGGCTTGGACGACACACCGAAATTGAACTTCGGGGCACTAGACACAGCAGCAGCAGGGGCCTTGGCTGCGTTGCTTGTGCTAGCGGCAGCCGAAGTCGTGGACTCGGGTTTAGCAAACGAGAACGTGGGTGCATTCGCGGGCTGCGAAGACGGAGGTGGTCCCATTCCTAAACGAGACAATAGCGAAGTACCAGGAGCTGCCTTCGATTGTTCATTGCCTTTCGCAGGGTCATTCGTGGCGTTGCCGAGAGGAGCAGGCGAGTTTCCTGCCTGCTGAGCGGGCGTTGGACCAAATGAGAATGAGGGCTTGGATGTCCCGCTCGCTGACGCAGGAGTCGTCGCTGTGGTCGTAGTGGGCGTGGGACCCTGGGCTGCTGGCTTGGCGAAGAAATTTGGTATTGACGAAGAACTCGCAGACGGGGCGGACGTAGCAGGAGTAGAGGTGGTCGGAGCAGAGGGCTTCGCAAAGAAGTTGGGGATAGAAGAGCTCGTCTGAGGTGCGACAGGTCGGGGATTAGGCGCATTAGAAGTGGCAGGGGCCGATGGTGCAAACGAGAAAGTGGGGGGAGGCTTGGATGGATCCGTAGAGGTCGTCGAAGGAGCGGGTGTTGTGTTGATCTTCGGCAGCTCTGACGTGCTCGACTTGCTCGCCGTGGAAGCACTGTTACCACTCGAAGGTGCGAAGCTAAAAGTCGTCGTCCCAGAACCAGATGGCTTCTCGGGAGCCTTATTGGTGGCGGGAGTGGTCGAAGAAATACTGAACAGAGACGGGGCGGTGTTGGAACTGGATGTAGTAGTACTCGGTGCGGATGCGGACGAAGGCAAAGCCTTTGGCGTGTCACTAGCACGAGCAGCCTGTTGTCTATCCCTGATCTTTGACATAGCAGCCGCCTCTAGGTCCTGCTTCTCCCACTTTGAGTACGACTTCGTCTTCTGCAACGCGGGGCTCTCAGCCGCAGGCGAGGCGGGTGCATGATAGACGGAGGAGATGCGACGAGTCAGTACAACCGGTGAGGGTGGGAAGATATTGGTTCGCGAAGCCGCGTTGGTAGTGACGGACTGTCTTAACGGTCCCCTCTTCACTGGACTTTCCCGTGACGATATCGTCGACGACCACAGCAGATTCTTCCCGGCAAGCTTTGAGGGAGACTCCTGCATCCAAACGTCAGGAGGGATACTCGCACTGCCACTTCGCGAATGACTTACCGGAACGTCGCGCGGTGTTTGCGGCTCCGAGGGAGTCGGGGATGAATCCTGCCATGCCAGCTCGTGACGCTCCTTCGCGAGCTGATATTCTTCTTCCGAGAGCCAAACCTCGACGTAGACATCCACGTGAGCACGCCGATCTGGGTGCTGAGAATCGCTGGGCTGAAGAACACGCTCATAAGTGAATCTTCGGGACCGAGAAACCACTAACGCTCACCATGGGGAACTTCGACCTCGATTTCTTGATCAATTCCTGACGAAGTCTCTGACCATTGGGTCCGACCTTGAACAAAACGCCATTGCACTCCCATTCTTCGCCTATACGCCTGCCCTTACAGAGAGGGTCGTTGGACACAGGGACGACGCCTTCCTGTGATTTCCGGCCACGTTTCTTACGCATGGACTTCTGCCTGGGCTGTTCGGAGTCGGACTCATCGCTCTCTTGGGACTGCGAGCCACGACCACGTTTCTGTCCACGTGTAGGACTTGCCTCGAGCTTATGGGAGGTCCTCCCTTTACGCCGCTGCCGTTTGGGCTGCTCCCCGTTGTCGCCGTCGACAATGTAATCATCGCCACCGAATGTCGAACCCGCCTCTACACGGTCCCTCTTCTTTCCTCTCACGACATCTTCGAGATCTTCGGCGCCCTCCGTCACATCCTCATCCATATTCTCGTCAGGAGACTGAGGGGACTTGTCAAGAGACACCTTACGAGCGCGCTTGTCGCGACGGGCGGTGCTTTGAAGGTCTAGACCCTCGTCGTCCTCGCTGCTCGCTACACGTTTCGACCCACGCTTCACGGGCTGTGCCTCGTCCACCTCCATGTCTTCGTCAGAACCATGCCATTCAGCCTGCTCGTCCCCATCGATCAGATCCTCTCCCTCAACGCGAGACTTCTTCGCAAGCATCTCTGGTTCCGAGTCGGCCTCGTCGTCCAACGCATGTTTACCATGAGATGTCCGCGTGACCAGTGGTTGCTTGACACCGCTAGTTTTTGGATTGTGCGCGGCCGAACCATTCGGAAACGGCTGAAGAGAAGTGTGAGACGTACGCTCCTGGTAGGAGGTCAAGTGGATGGTCGGAATGCTTGTTCTTGGGCCAAGAGAAGACCTAGGGAACAGTCGTTAGCTGTGATTGCAGTTTACGCCTTGTACTTGGGTACTAACTCAATCGCGTCGCCGTTGAGACCTGGAGGATATCCACTAGTATAACCACCCGATTTCACGAAGGATGAAGCTAAGGGGAGAGCTAAACAAACGTAGCTCAGTCCCGAGTGGCCTGGGTAGGCAGATGGTGGCGCAACATACCTGTATCCGCGGCTGTTACCCCGTCTTCCTCTGCACTCACGACTGGCTCTTCGCGTAGGTATGGCCTGCTTCCCTTCCCATCTCGTTGCTTCCTAGCGTGCAAAGCAGCGGCGTATGCTACATTGAAGGGCCTATTGTCGTCATCGGGAATGCCGTGCCGTCGCCGTGTAGCCCTACGCGCATACAGTCAACGGTGGCGCATGGGACCAGCGCAAATGATTACTCACTTCTTGTATCTCGTCTCCCTCCATTGACGGTAGTGTGGTGCTATTCGGGTCCAAGTGTAGAACGCCGCCAGCCCGAGCCCAAGCAGAAGAGTAATCTGGCCAGGATCAGACCAAGCTGGAGAGCGCTGAGGAGAGACCTGGAGGCGCCCTCCAAGGATATCTGATGATTCATAGTCCATGGCAAATGGATGAGACGGAGAGGCCTCTACGCGTGTGAGAGTCGCGCCGGGGGCGTCGGGCTGGCGCGTCGGTGGCCGCAGTGCAGGCGGTAGAGAGGGAAGTGGTGAGTCCTACCTGCCACAGGTCCCGCGCACTTGGCCCGTAGCGGAGATTCAACTCGACTATGCCCGATCTGGCCACACGTTGTTACGTAATCTGTTAGACGTCCACGCTCACGTCGCGGCGCGAGGGAAGCTTGCGTGGGTCCTCCATGCGCACGTAGGGCAGACAGGACTCATGTCGAGGAGAAGGTTGTCTTCTTCTCGTCAGTTGTGGGTAACCTCTATAGAGTCGCGTGGTCACATTGTCTGACGTTTTGGATAAGCCGGTTTCCCTGGTGCATCACCACTATAGACTCAGCGAGAATCGTCGCTGGGGTACAGTGCGGTTGTGCACAGAACGATGATTTTCTCGCCAACGTAAATTAGAATCAGAATTCTAGAGTAGGCTAGAACGCGAGCTGGTTGTACGAGGGATTCGGGTAGGAGAGGTCATACTGCAATCGTATCAGCTTCAGGTTTGGCATAATCCTGCTTTCCACGTGGGAATCAGATCTGCTCATATAGCCCAGCTCCTATTTGTTGCCAATCACGCCAGTCCGACATCCGTACCTTCCTCCCTCCTCCCGGCACCCCCTTCCACATACCTCCCTCATGGCCAAGCTTGTCACCTACGCGGAGCTCAAGGAGCACAGCAACAAGACCAGCCTGTACATTCTTCTGCACGAGAAGGGTGTGTCTTCCTATATCCGCCTGTATGCGATTGACAGCTCATTGCGATATACAGTGTACGATGTCACAAAATTCATTGACGAGGTATGCGTTCAATGCACTTCATGCGGCCCTGCTGCGTAGAATTAACGAGCTGTGAAGCACCCTGGAGGCGACGAGGTGATCCTTGCGGAGGCTGGTGAGTGCACGTTTCTCCTCGTTCCCACCCGGCTACTGACTCTACGGTGGTAGCGCGGGATGCCACGGAGGCCTTTGAGGATGTCGGGCACTCGGATGAGGCTCGTGCGCTCCTCAAGGACTTGCTGGTTGGTGACTTCGAGAAGACTGACGTGCGTCATTCTGCTCTTTCCCCTCCTACGCGTTGCTCATAGACCATCTCAATAGGAACTCAAGACGAAGGGTCCGTACTCTTCCTCGAGTTCCAACAGCAATGCCGTCAACGCGGCGGTGGAGCAGGGTTCCAAGTGCGTCTTATCATGCAAAGGTTTGACGTGTAACCTCACCTCGTTCCCTCTAGCTTGATGTATTTCGTCCCCCTGGCGGTGTTGGGTGCCTACTTCGCGTGGCGCTACTACTCGAGCGGCTCGATATAAACTGCTTGTACTCGTCGTCTCCTTAGGCATCCTACATGTTTACAGTGCTTGTGTTTCTGTGATACCTCCACACGCATAATGTTTTCGCATACGTCAGCTGCGTTGTGTGATCTCGCCTCCGCCGAACCCTTGGTTCTACCCAGTGGAGCGCTGAGCCGTTATCATTGACGTGTAGCAAACATTACATCCCGCTGTGGTCCAGGGCACGGTGAAATTCGCAGGGTAGTTCGCGTCGCTGCAAGCAACCCAGAGAGGATGGCCTACGGCATCGGTGTGCATACGGGCGCTAATCCTTGCGCCTGGTTTCTCCCGACACCCATGCCGCCCCAGCTCAAACTTAACGCAGTCGCGTTCGTGTCCCCCCAAAACCATCCCATCCTCATACGAACGTTCGCGCAGGGACAGGATGAGCTGAAGTACCACTACATCGCGCACACCAGCCTCGACGTCATCGACGAACGCAGTGCGTCGGTCCTCAGTCCCGTCGCCCGTTCCCCGTAAGTCTGACCTGCGTCCGCTCGGACCGTCCTCCATGCATGCGTGCGACGGCACGGACAGTCGCAGCCGCGCTAGCGTCGAAGTCGACAGACTGCTATCTGAACCTGCTGTACACCATGGAGGACGTCGCGGTGTACGGCTACATCACGCCCCTCAAGGTCAAGATCATCATCGCGCTCGCGTTGACCGACTCCGTCGTGCGCGACGCGGACGTCATTACGGTATGTGTTCTCCCCTTTCCCTGCCGGTGCCCATTGACTCATGCCTCCGTACGCAGATATTCCGCGCGTTGCATACGGCATACCGCCAGGCGGTTGCCAACCCTTTCCTCAAGGTTAACGCGCCCATCGACGGCTACAACGACCACGCGACGCTCCTCCAGGCCGGCAACTCGAAGTGGAGAGCGTTCAGGAAACGGGTAGACGACATCGGCAAGGCTGTAGGGGCCGTCGGTAGCGCAACGTGACTGCCTTCCCTTCGATTCTTTCGTGCGTGGTTGTGAGCGGACATGTGTGTGAGATGTTTCGTCGGTTCGTCTTATCTGTTCAGGCACTGGCCTTGCGCCGCTCCCACTGTCTGAGAAGAGCATGCCTCCAATGGCTGACTCCGAACCAAGAGCAATGTCTGCCTTTCTATTGACTCAGCATCCTCGAGTACACCGGTGTTGAGACAGATACGGGGCACACATCTCATCATTTCAGACACACTTCATTTAGATAGGGTCGATTCATTTCCCAATGACATTTCTCTTTCTACGCATGCTTCGCAAATTCCGATGTGGTCGGGCTTAGGACGCGAGGAATCCCGGGGGATCCCACAAGCCTGTAGTTCGAAGGATGCTTCAGGTCTACAGTCCGATGAGTGCTTCCGCCAGCTGATCCAACCCTTCTGTCGTCTCCCTCGCCATCACGCGGACTACATCGTCCGCATCCGTCGCCGCTACGTAACCAAGCGTGGTCCTGGCGCGCTTCATTGCACCCGGTGGGAGCATCAGGCCCTCCGCGTCTCCGGTCTCGTATACACGGCTCGTGCACGCCTGGATTAGTAGCGACAAGAAGTGCAGCGCCGCGCGTCGAAGTGGAGGGAACTTCGTGTACGTGGACGTTGGCTGGGAATCCATGGATGGCGTAGCCGATGTCGCATCGTGTTGTTCTTCCTGATGTGCGTCAGCCTGTTCCCGTTCTGTTTTCGTGTCCGCGCTTCGGTCGGGCCGCAAAGAAGGCTTGCGCGGTGCTGCAGCGACAGACTCGATTTGTAAGAGATCGACCATGGCGTCTGCGAGGTCCACAATATATGGCAGGACTGCGAGCGCGTTCGTCTTGATACACTGCGCGAGGAGGGAGATCGCGGACGTCCTGAGCACAGTGGGGAACTGAGTCGTCCGGACCACCAGGAACAGAGCTGGGATAAGCAGCGGCGCTGATACTCCAAAGGTGAGCGTCGGTCGCAGCAAAAGGTCCTAAGCATCGACTCTCACCGTATGAGGGCAGCGCCTCGCCACATCGTTGAATGACCTGTCCCAACGCTTCACCCACGCGCGTTCGCATATCAACATCATGCTGCGACATTGTGCTTGCGCTCAGGCTGTCCAAACCACCTGCATAAGTGTTAACCAGCCCACGCAGGACGTCTTTCCCATAACCGTCGACCATCGCGGACAGGCCCTGCACGGCGTTGAGGAACATGTAGGAGTCGTCGTCCTGAATTGACTGCATGAATATCGATAGGATTCCTGGCACGAGCGCGCGGTCGAGCGGGGGCTCAGAGAGACCGTCTCTCCCCGGCCTCTTGCGCGCGGACACAAGCTGGCGCAAAAGCATCAGGCCGTGGGCGCGCACGGGGAGAAGCGGATCTTGGAGGAGCTTCAGCGCCTTCTGGTACGTCTCCTGCGGAGTTTCTGCGTCTCCAGCTGCCTTGGATGCCCTATCTCCAGCTGTATCGGAGGTCGAGGCGAGGCGCGCCGTCATGACCATCCTCGCCTCTCGTGTGAGCGAGCGTAACTCCTCATTGGACGCCTTCGATAATGGTTCGAGCAGGGAGAAGATGTCATTGAGTATCGGCGCGTTCCGCGCAGATAGGTCGGGGTTCGCTGGGGATGACGATTGGTAAGACCAAACTGGGGGAAGATGCTGACAGCATACCCTCTAACACCGAAAGCAACAGCTGAACGGCGGTTGATGTCATATCGTCCAAGGGTTGGTCTGGCAGTCCCTCTGTGCCCTCCTCTCCGTCATCGCTGTCGCCATCTTCCAGCTCGTCGTCCTCCGCTTCGTCCGGTACGATGCGCAGAGATTCCATACGTAACCCCGCGTCCAGTGTCGTCTTGGCCTGAGAGGGTTCGGACTGACGCGGATTCTCGAGCGCGTGCTTGATGAATGAAAGGATGTGTTCCGGCTTCTTGAGGATCCCCAAATTGTCGTCCGTTGAGAGTTGTTTTTGCATTTGTAATATAAGCTGCAGGTAGAGCAGAGTCCTACGCGACGTCAGCCAAGTGCTAAGCCAATAGGCGACTACTCACTTGAGTGGGTCTGCATCCGCATGACTACGCAGCTCTCGGTAGCCTTCAAGCAGCCTCACAAACAACTCGGAGGAAACGTCTGCGCGTTTGAGACTCCCGATGAAGCTGACGAACTGTATGGGATCTGGCCTCAGACCGAGAATGTTCGCGTCAACGTCGAGGTCTCCGGCTTCTTCCGCCTGTTTGAGGCTTTCGGGGGTGAATAAGGAAAGTGACGTCGCATCTTGAGGAGCGCTGCAATTTGTACCGTCAGTGGACGACCGGTAGGAGCGGACAAGCAGCATACGTACTCTTCAGTTCGAGATATACTGCCAGCGACGTCCACGCGCCAATTCCCACCTTCTCCATCGATAACGCGCCAAAGGGTGGAGATGACCTCAGCACTGCCCAGGAGTCTTCCCCACGTTCCTAGGTAGCCCTGAAGAGACTCGCGCAACAACGGATCAGATGCTCTTGTGCCTTTCAAATACGCATGCAACGCATACAGCGATGGCACAATTGGCGTGAACAAAGCCGATAAGAGAGGAGGAGATGGGTCCGTGTTGGTGAGTAAAACCTGTATGATACGGAGGGACGCATCGGTCGACAAGTCGCCAGAACCTGCATCTACGTCAGCCAGGTATCGCTACCAGTTCTTCCTGAATGCAACTCACCAAAGAGTATAGGATTGTGGAGCGATGAGAGCGCAAGGGTTGTCGCAGCCTTCTGTAGCTCGGGACTGTCATCGTTCGTGAGCATGCGAGAGAGGGAGAATGCGATTGCTCGACGATGCGTCGCAGGAAGCGCCCGGTCTTCCAAGCTCAGCAGTAGCAGCATGCGTGGGATGATGATTTTGCTGTAATCCTGAAGCCGCATTAGACCATGGTCAACCGCATGGAAACTCGACTGCGAGCGGTGTGTTCACCTCGTCCTTCATCCCGACAGGTACAGTGTTAAAAACTCGTGCCACATGTTCGAGCTTCTGTAGTGGCGCATCGTCTCCGGCCACGTCTTCTTCGGCGAATACTGACTCGCATAGTCCACGTATCCCTTCTGGTCGCATAAGTTGTCGACTTAGGATGAAAGTGCATGCTCTTCGGGCATATAGGAGAGAGGAGGGCGCTTTGGCTAGGGTCTGGCCAACTGCCGAGATTACCTGAGATACGGGAAGCCTTCAAGCGGGTTAAGGGCGATTTCATATAGCGGGGGAGGCGAAGACATACCGAGAGAGCAGATACATAACCTGGGGACGGAAGGCATCGCCAGTAGGCATTGAATCGGACGCAAGCGACTTCGGAAGCCAGCCGCTTACGATGCAAGGCAAAAGGAGGTCAGACAGGTGTTGGTTTAGAATTGTCGCGGTCACGACAGACTTCGACAGGGGTGAAGCCGTCCCTTCGCATAGCGGCAAGGTCAGAAGTCGAGACGACAGCGAACACAAGACGGAGTACTCGTGCGGAAGTCCGGTAAGATCAATGATGCTAGCTCCTCTTGCGAGGTGTGATCTCGATGTTGACGGTATGGCTGAGACGATGCGTTGCAAGAGTGGTTCCACACCCCATTTGAAGACAATAGACGTTAGAGTGCGGATTAGAGCCATGTCCCGACTCCCGATAAGCGTCGGATTGTTCTCTCGGGTGATCTTCTCGTCACCATTTCTGCTTTGCCGCAGCGCATTATGTACAAACTCGTCTGGATCCCTCAAGAGTCCGTGCAGCTGTTCCAAGACGGAAAGGGCCCCAACGGCGGTGCTAAGCTGAGCGCCCTCGAGAGAAGACTCAGGCTGAGGTGCCTCATTTCCAACATATGCATAGTAGTCGGCGAGTCGGCACAAAAGAACGCCTTTGAGGTCGGTGGGGCGCGCCTCAGACGTTGCCGCGGGCCCTGTGAGTATGGCTGCAGCTTGGAAGATTTCACTAAGACCCCTATCCCTCGACATTGCCTGAAAAGTGACATTGAGTACACGCTTTGACTAATCATGACACCTACCTCGCAAGGTACAGTATTGGAACAGTGACACAAACGATGTCTGTTGCTGGCCTCCCGGAAGATTCAGGCGACCAGGTGAGGTGGGCGTCTCCGTGGGTATGCCCTTCCTTGTGCGGCACCCACTGCGTTAGTGCTATTTAGTGATGTTTCTCCATGATACTCACCTATCTCTCAGCACCTTTTGTAACGAGGAATGAACGCGTCGGGCAAAGGCCTGAGGCTCGAGGAACGGTCACGTCCACCGTCACGTTTTCCACCTCCTTTGACAGCCGGTCCGAGTACGCCGGAGCGCCTCGTTCAAGCTCAACGTTAGCGCGATGTCCGACTCTACGTTGTAGCCATCAACCTCGATGTTGGCCTTCTCGGACTTCACCCATTTACACTCTGTAGAACACGGCCAATACTACTTAAGCACTCACCCTGAGAGAAGAAACAGTTTCAACAAAAGCTATGATTGTAATACGGCTGCCGTATCGGATATATTAGAGCGTCTTTTACGCTACCGCAGCTCATATAAGTAGTCCATGGCTCGTTCGACGTTTCCCAAGCCATCACAGATGCCCGACGATACCTCTTCTCCTTCGGCTATCATACAAAGGCTGGTTTCTGGTGAAACTCCCGAGTATGTTGTCACACATCCCGGCCGTAGTCAGTACAGCCAGACGGGTGGCGGGGTGTCCGCATGTGGCCTTGCCGCTCTCAATTGCGCACGGATCGTGTTGGGCCTCCATTCGACAGGACTCGGGACGACTCAACTGCTGGAAGAACTCATGAAGCGCAAGTTCCTCGAGGTACGCTCGCTAGCCGTCCATCTGTCTCATACTCCATCTCATTGCCCACGGGAACATCGCAGGACATCTTGCAGCCTTGCCTCTCGTGGTCTAGTTCTGATCATCTGGCAGTCGATGAGATTCACAAGGTCCCAATCTTCCGCAAGTCCTTGAAGACAGTCGGCTCACATTACGGACAAGCGGGACTCCCCTACTTTGAGGGACTGATGTCGTCAGTGTAATGCAGCCTGCGTCAGTGCCCTTTCGTACTAACTGCACAATCGGTTCAGGAACATCTCACAATATACAAAACAACATTCGACTTCGACTTGCGTCATCATAACGCGTCCACCAGAAATCATCGCATGCTTCTGTCTCTCCGATGTCCCTGCCGAACTCTTCGTCATCTTCGACTCCCATCCTCGTCCTCACAAGCATCCCCACGGCGCAGCATTCATCTTCAAGAACTCAGTGAATTCAACCGCGGAATACCTGGCGACCCTCTTACACTACGATGAGCGTCTCCTCCGCGATAGCACAGTTCAGTGGCAAGCCCAGCTGCTCGCACACTGCTCCGGAGACGTCTTCGTAGCACGGCGCGGTGGGTCGACGTCTAGCCAGTGGGGAGAGATGGCGTTGGAGGCAAGCCTACAAGTGCTAAAACTGCAGGCTAGTGTGAGAACCCTCGAGAAGAGGAACGAGGATCTGGAGGAGGACAAAAAGCGACTGAACGACGAGGTCGCCGAACTGGAGGATCAACTCCTCGAGCTCGACGACGAACATGAGAAGCTGAAGGCCAGGTACGAGCAGCTTCAAGCCTTGACGCAACACCGCCGGAGCACTTCCATCCCTCGATCGTCACCCAGCGATTACCGGCAGCAGCCTCTCCAAAGTCCTCTCGGCCTCGTTCCTTCCTCCCAGAGAGGCACCCCCGCGCCGACAGCTTCGTCTGCTCATCGTCCCCCACAGAACGGCTCGGCGACGTCTCAGGCGTCAGACTTCCATGCCGCCGACGCTCTAGCATCACAACTGCAACGAGCGTACGACGAGGAAAACCAGCAGCTCGCGCAGCAACTGAGACATCTCAAGGACATTCAACCAACCTTCTTCGACTGCGGCATCTGCTTCGAACGCCATCAAGACGACCACCTCGCCCGTGTGATGCCATGCGGCCATTCGTACTGTCGGCCATGCCTGAGAGCGTATGCAGTGTCGAAGATCAACGAGCATCGCTTCCCGATCCTATGTCCCAGCTGCGTCGCGGACAGGGGCCGCTCCGAATTCGGAGGTATCCTTCTGCTCCTCACTGGCATCCGTCTAGATTTGCGCAGACTGACACATCGTGCAGAGCTAGACGACTTCGCGATCCAGCAACTGGGCTTGGGCGAGCGACAATACGAAATGTTCTGCGAACTGCAACTGGCCCGCTTCTCCACCGTCATCCACTGTCGCAGGTGTGTTTCTACTTTCACTGCACCCAGACGCACCGCGGTGCTCACGTACTCCCGACGCGCGCAGGTGCCTGAAGACGATCTTCGTCGACAAGGCAGAGTACGAGGAAGCGCAGGAGATCGTCTGTCCCCTCCGCGGTTGCGGCTATGCATGGTGCAAAGCGTGCTCGCAGGCCATCCAAATCGGGGGCCCTAAGCACTCATGCGACGGCTCTTCAGAACTCAAGGACCTCATGGCACAGCGTGGGTGGAAGCACTGCCCAGGCGAGTCTGGTCCCCCATGCAACCGACGGAAGGCCGGTACAGGACTCACGTTATCTCCGTCGCCTTGCAGGGTGCCAGACGCCAGCAGAGAAGATCGACGGCTGCAACCATATGACGGTGAGCAATGGGCTTCGCCATACTTCAGCGTGTTCCTGGACTGATTTCGGCTGCTGGCAGTGCATGTCGCCTGGATGCAACGCGTCAGTATATCAATCTCACTTCCAGCTTGCATTGTTTCGAAAGAGCTTACTTCTATGTTGTCCTTACAGTCACTTCTGCTACCTCTGCGGTCAGCTCATCGTGCAATCTGTACTCAGAAACGAGATACACTCGGCCGTGTCAAGGCACTACCGTCGCTGCGTCCTGTTCTGACCCTGCGATCCTCATTCTCTTCAATTACCTCACGACTCGGCACTGTTGGCGCTGTATTTGTACCTCGTCCACTTACTTATCTACTCTTGCATTATAATAGCATAGCAGGAACCAGTTGCACTCTCGATATTATACAATCGCTGGCTGGGGATGCTACATCATCGTTTGCGGCGGGCGCGTCGGAAAGCAGGGCTGGCGTTACAGAGTATCGTTACAATGGCACCGTGAATGCATCGGGCGGTCAACTGCCGATTCTATACCTTTTCACGTCTTCGCCGGAGGTCAACAAGAACGCAAGTACTCGGGCCTTAGACGTTGAGGTTCGCAACGCCCTCTGCGGCCTCATCGATGCCGGAGTCGTGTATTTTTGTGACCTATAGGTTTGAAATTCAGGACGTGAGGTCGGACACGAATATAAAGCTTTAGTAGCGGAAGTTCTCACCTTGCCGATAGCGATTGTCTTGCCTTCGTCTCGGAGCGTGAAGCGGCCCAGCTGCGGATAATCAGCGAAGCGCTCTACGCATACGGGCTGCACGGTCTCGATGAGCGCGACGATCTTCTGGCCCTTCTTCGCGAACTGCGGCGGCTTCTTCGACTTGCGGCCGGTCGCCTTGTCGAAGTAGTGAAGAAGTTGCTGTGACAGAGGATACAACTCAGAATAAGATGGCATGCGCAATCGAGGTACACAGGGCACGTACAGCGAGAGTAACTTCCTCCGCAAGAGTGTGACAGTGCATGACTGCCGAGTAGCCCGCACAGATGATGTTCTTGTGGTCCAATATCGCGAGCTGCGCCTCGAACTGGCGCACGGCGTGAATGGGGTTCGATGGGCTGGTGAGGACGAAGCCAGGACTGATGTCCTCGTCGTCGACACCGCGGAGACGGATGCGGACGTTGTCGCCGCAGAACGCGTCATTAACCTCATCCTCCACCTCGTTGTAAATTGCGGAGACCTCGACCGTGTTCTTGTTGGGCATGAGCAGGAGCGTGTCACCCTTGCGCAAATGGCCGGACTCGATCTTGCCGACGACGATCGTGCCCATGTCCTTGTACTTTTCGGACACGGGCATCATCAGAGGCGCGTGGATCTTTCGGTCGACCATGGGCATTTTGTCGAGGTGCTCGAGCAGGGAGGGACCACTGGGCGCGTGCAAGAGTCAATATGGGCAATCCGAGTCTCAACGCGTCGTGTACTTACTCCCACCAAGGTGCAACGTCCTTAGGGACACGTTCCTTCAAGTTGAGACCGGTGTATGCGGAGACGGGGATGAAGGTAACGTCATTCTTGACATTGAAGCCGGCTGCCTTGATGAACGGCGTGAGCTTGTCCTTGATCTCGTCGTACCGCGCTTTCGACCACTCCACCGTCGACTCGTCCATCTTGTTGATCACGACCACGACCTTCTGCACGCCAGCCGTCTTGACCAACATGATGTGCTCGCGCGTTTGGCCGCCCTTCTCGAATCCAGTCTCGAACTCGCCCTTACGGGCGGAGATGACAAGGATCGCGACGTCTGCCTGAGCTGCTCCAGAGATCATGGACGGTACGTAAGTCTTGTGACCGGGGGCGTCGAGGATCGTGTATCGGCGGGTGTCGGTCTCGAAGTATGCACGGCCGACCTCGACGGTCTTGCCCTTCGCGCGCTCCTGCGGGGTCGAGTCGAGTGCCCAGGAGAGGTACCAGGAGTCTCGGCCGGCTTCCTTGGCCTCGCGCTCGTACTTTTCCATCGTCCGCTTGTCGACCATGCCGGAGAGGAAGAGAAGCTGGCCTCCCATCGTACTCTTTCCGGCATCGACGTGACCGATGAAGACGATGTTCAGGTGCTCCTTGACTGATCAACAGGAGATCGGGCTGAGCTGACAGGCGATAGATAGGTAGGAGGCTGTACTCACTATGACCGTAGAGATCTTTCAAGACCTCTTCGTCGACGGCTTTCTTGACTTCATCTGCGATCGCAGCGGAATCCGTCTTTGCGCGCTCGAGCGTGAATGATTTGGAGTTGGTAGCATTAGAAGCAGAGGTGGAGGCGGGTGCAGGTGCCACTTTAGCAGGCTCTTCTGATTTCGATGGTGGTGCACGGGCTGGTGTGGGGGAAGGAGCAGGAGCGGGAGAAGCGGCGGGCTTGGATCCACCGATGTTCAGAGAGATGGTAGCAGGTGGTGAGGGCGCGGCAGTTGGGAGAGGTGCCGACTTAGAACCACCGATGTTCAGGGAAATAGTTGGAGGCGGTGGAGGTGCTTGGGTCTGTGGGGGACGCTCAACGGGCTGAGGGGGCGGTTGTGCAGCCTGCTGAGGCTGCTGCTGCTGCTGAGGGATCCGGAAACCCTGGCCGGGTACGAAAGAGAAAGCGTTTGCGTTAAGCTTGCTCATGGCTACAGTGCGTATACAACAAAATTGTCAGAGAGGAGAGCTGCGGTCAAATACAGAGGAGAACAGGTCGTCTAGGATAGAGTACGGTGTCCGGATGGGTGTGGGGGGCAAGGTGCGGTCTCGAGACCTGGCTCTCAAGTTTTCGGTCGATTGCCACTTCCGGCCCGATCAGCCACTCATCTCATCTCGACTCAACTCATCGCTTCCGTCGGCTCATGCCTCTATGTCCTCTGCCACAGCCAAGCTGTGCCCAGGTTGTGAGCTGGAGAAATACGTGGTCGTTGTCCAGACTTCGGAAACATATTCGGAGTCCGGATCCATGCATTCTAAAGATAAGAGAAGCATGTCCTGCAGCTGATTCATCTGTATATCCGATGCTATAGCTACTGCATGCGCAACCGCCGCAAGGCATGTATGTTGGTAAAACTTGCAAAGATTCCCGCAGGATGCAAATTACAGTAGATGCCCTAAGAGGCGGAAGAGTGTTCACGCCCGCAACGAGCGCGAAGAAGGCGCCGGATGTGATCATAGAGGGCCCGTGCCTGCCGACGTTCCCGAACACCACAATCTACACCTCCCACCCACCCGCCCCGCTGTCGCCCATTCTCCATGGCCGCGGAGCAGTCCACCTATCTGGCAGTCCTCAAGGCCAGTTACGACTACGAGCCCCAACAGGGAGCTGAGGACGAGTTAGCCATTAAGGAGAACCAGCTCCTCTTTCTCCTCGAGCGCACGGACAGCGAGTACGACTGCACCATCCTCCTCCCTCCGTGCTAGCTGACGCCCCGCACAGATGGTGGAAGGTTCAAATAAGGTCCGATACACAAGAAGAGGAGGGCCCTTCTGGTCTTGTACCTGCAGCCTACGTCGAGCCGGTCGGTTACCCCGCACTACTCTGACTTACATCGAGCTCATACCATCGCTGCCCAGGCTGATCCCATTCAAGTCGTGAAGGTTTTGTACGATTACGAGGCTGCCCAGGCCACAGAGCTTACTGTGAAGGAAGATGAGATTCTCAATGTTTATGGGAATGATAACGAGTGGTTGTTGGTGTCAAGCCCGACGGAGGAGGGACGAGTAGGGTATGTACCTGGTAATTACGTCGAGGAGGTATGTTTCATCTCTATCTATCTATCGCATCGAGCCTACAGCTATGGTACACAGACCAGCGGAGAAGCGGAGGAGGCCCCCGTCGTACCGGCAGCAGCATCACTGTCGTCAATCGTCGTGCCAGACTCAGTAAGCCCCTCATCCCTTGGGCTTGAGAGGTATCTACTTCATACCTATCAACATCCTCCCCTAGCCACCCAAACCCGCGCGTCCAATCAGCACCTACGTCGACCCCGCCGACCGCGTTGCTGCCGCGTCCAACAAAGCGCAGGCCGACTCCATCCAGACATGGGCCGTCTCCGAGGTCGACGCCAAGGGCAAGAAGAAGAAGGGCACCCTCGGCATCGGCAACGGCGCCATGTTCTTCGCCAGCGAGTCCGATAAACAACCCGTCCGCAAGTGGCAAGTAGGCGACGTCCAAGCCGTCAGGCTCGAGAAGTCCAAGCATGTCCACATCGACGTCGGGGGCGCCGAGGCCGCGAACCTTCACTTCCACGCTGGGAACAAGGACACCGCGGAGGCGATAACGGCCAAGCTCGAGTCGTCCCGCGCCATCGCGGGTGGGGGCTCTCCCGCCCCCGCCGCCCCTTCGACCAACGGCGCTGCTCCGAGCCCTCCGGCGGAACCTATTGAGCGCCCGCGTAGCAGTGCTGCGAAGTCGGTACATTTTGCGCCGGATGAGCCCGAGGAGATCCCTCCTCCCGAAATCTATGAGGACGAGGATGAGGAGCAAGAAGAAGAACAAGTTGCTGAGCCTGTCGCTGCGACTGAGGACGGTCCGACTGCCGTCGTGCTATATGACTTCACCGCTGATGGCGAGGATGAGTTGACGGTCGCCGAGGGTGAGACTCTCATCGTCCTCGAGCGAGATAGCGAGGAGTGGTGGAAGTGCAGGAACGCGCATGGTGCCGAGGGAGTCGTCCCCGCCAGCTATGTCGATGTATGTCACTTCCGCTAGGTTCCTGCTCCCGTTGGCTGAGGGCAACTGACAGATAATCGGGGGCGTCGATGCCGCACCGCCCGGGCCTTCTGCCTCTCGGGCAGCGGAAGAGGCTGCTGCCGCCGCAGCTGCAGCTGCAGCGGAGAGGGCAGCTCGGGAGGCGGCCGAGCGTGAGGCGGAGGAAGAGCGCCGTGCATCTTTGGAACGCGAACGGGCAGAGAAGGAGCTCAAGAAACAGGAGGCAGAGCAGCGAGCAAAGGCCGCCGCCGCAGCGGCAGAGGCGGATCGGAAACGTCGGGAACGCGAGCGCGAGAAGCAGAAGGAGAAAGAGCGGGCGCTAGCGGAGGAGGATGCGAAGCGCCGGAAGCAGGATGTCGCAACGGAGCGAAAGAAGAGCAGTGAGAAGAGCCGGTCGTCGAGTGAAAAAGGCCGTGAGTCGAATTCAGTCTGCTGTGCGCTGAGGATTGTTAACCCTAAGTTTTCGCAGGCGGACCTCCGCCCGAGACACTGCGCGAGTGGCGCGATCGGACAGGGCAGTTCCGCGTCGACGCTGCGTTCCTCGGCTTCGCGAATGGCAAGCTCAGGCTCCATAAGGTCAACGGTGTCGTCATCGAGGTTCCCGCAGAGAAAATGTCCGAGGAGGACTTGCGCTATGTGCAAAAACTTACCAAGCAGAAGAACGGCTCGTCCTCACATCGTAGGTCTGATGATGATGACGAGCCGTTGGAGTTGCGCAGGCGTTCGCTCATACCCGAGGGGGTTGGCCGGTCAAGCTCGTCACCCAGACCGGTGCAGCCACCCAAGAAGGGGCCTACGATCGACTGGTTCGAGTTCTTCCTCAACGCCGGGTGCGACATAGACGACTGCACACGGTACGCGACTGCCTTCGAGAAGGACAAGATCGACGAAGCCATCCTTCCCGACATCACGGAAGGTACTATGCGCTCGTTGGGTCTCCGTGAGGGTGATATCATACGCGTGAAGAAGGCGATCGAGCAGCGGAAGCCGAAGACCAACGATGCGAAAGAAGAGCAGTTGAAGAAGGATGAGGAGCTGGCGAGGCAGCTGCAGGCTGAGGAGAACTCGAGCCTCAAGACCAGGAGCCCTGCACCGAACCTGTTCGCCGGTTCGAACGGAGAGCTCAAGAATATGCGCCGCGGTCGCCCTCAGCCGAGCAAGAGCTTGCCCCCCTCGACGGTCGATCTGCAGTCCATTTCTACTGCTTCGGACCAGATCCAGCGCACGTCTTCGCCGCTAGTTGCGAGCCCCGAGGCCGTGCAGCAGTCAAGCTCGAGTCCGGCAGCTCTTCCCGCTAAGTCAAACGCGACCGCGCCGGTTGTCAGCGGCTTCGAAGACGATGCTTGGACCAATCGACCAAGTTCAACCAAGCCAGTTGCTCCCACCCCGCCCGCAGCCCCGGCGCGCGCTCCTTCTGCTCCTCCGGCTCCTCCCGCGCCGCCTGCGCCCGCACAATCCGCTGCTCCGGCTGCGCCGTCGGTAACTGTGAGCCCACCTCCTGTGCGTGCAGCGTCCGTCGCGTCGGGCGCCCCTACGCAACAGCAACAGCAGCCGGCGAAGTCGGGTGACGACATCTTCGACCAGCTCGCACGTATCGCGTCGCTGCGTGTCAACAGCCCTGCTGTCCCGGCACCACAACCCGCTGCGCCCTTAGCACCGATGCGTACCCAATCAGCAACGCTCTCGCCTCCGGTTGGCTTCCAACAGGGGATGGGCATGGGCTCGTCGCCTGTCCCGATGGGCCAAGCTCTTCAGGCTCAGCAGACGGGTATGCTGTCGACGCCGTCGCCAGTCAATATGAATGGCCCTCGCGGACCATTTGCGCCCGTCCCTGCGAATCAGTCGTTGTTGCAGCCCCTTGTGCCGACCACCACAGGCTTCAACGGCTTCGTTCCGACTCGTCCTGGAACGTCACCGTCGCCGTTCCAGTCTGGTTCTTCGCCGCAGCCATCGTTCCTTCCTCAGCAGACGGGGTTTCAACCGTCGTTGCTACCTCAGCAGACAGGTTTCCAGCCGTCGATGTTGCCACAACAGACGGGCTTCCAGCCTCAAATGCCCGTCATGTCACAGCCCACTGGCATGCCAAGCAGCGGGTTCGGAGGCATCGGCAGTGGATTGCAGGCAGCGCCTTTCCAGTCTACGCCTAGCTTCAACCAGATGCAGCCCCGTAAGTCGTTTCGCATAGTCGGTAAGCACTATGCATACATGCTGATTACATCCATCAGAACCTACAGGATTCTCCTCTATCCAGAGCAGTGAGCAGCACGATCTATTTGAATGTGCGAGTGTAACTCATCATGGAGTAGATCCCACAGGTTTCAACCCGGGCATAAACTCGGGTTTTGGGCAGTCGCCGTTCGCTAACCCTGCCTCACCACCACCACTGCCAACGCAGTCCCCCGTGAACACAAATCCCGCCAACGTCTTCGCGCAGATGAAGAGCGGCACATTTGCCCAAGAAGATAATGCACCGCAGAGCGCGGACAAGTACGAAGCGCTTCGGCCGAACCGTAAGTGATGTCACTGATCGCTCAACTCAGCAACCTGATCCTTCTCCTATTCGATTCAGCAATGCCGCTCACTGCACAGCCGACTGGTTGGGGAGGGTTCGGAAATGCCAATGGGTTCCAAGGTGGCTACGGATATCACTGAGGGTAACTTGCTTCTTATGAGGATCATCTGCCGCTGACCATAGTACACTACATGACATCGGTTCACATCTTCGTTCCTCTTGGTTGATCTTCCAGGGCCGGATCTACTGGAAACTGTGCATTAATATACCCGAAGTTGATGACATTATACAATCGTGCAAAGTAATAAGATAGAGTGTGTATACGAGATCATGGACGCTCTACGATGCCCTGGATATAACCCACACGCAAGAAGTACTCCCGAAGGCCTTCGCGAATTTCTGGCGCCATCTCCCTCGACAAGAGGTCGGTCGCCAAGGGATAGATTGCGGGTAGGTATCTTGTGAACTGTTGGGAGCGGATGAGTCGCGCATCATCGTGTGGCAAGACTGGGAATCACATACTGCCTTATCATCGAACTTGACGAAACCTTGCAGGATTTCGGCGACGACTGGTGTCCAGGCCGCGATATTTTTAGCCTGCGAATCGAGACGCAGCTTGTTGAAGTCCTGCAGTACACCAAGACCCAGTCTGCACAGATACGATACGATACGATATGAGCGGAGTCCGCATCAGGCCAAGTATGCGTACTTACGGCAAGAGACGATCAGCCACTTGGGGTCGCGCCGATTGATGCTCGGGACGAGGGTCATAGTACATCCGCAGAAGTACATGCACTAATGTGGATGCGCTGCTCGACTCCTGCTTTAACAGGTTGGGCAGATGCTTCATGAAGCCTATACAAGACGCATGAGGGGACGATCGTCGCAGCAAGAACAGGAACGCTACCCACCAACTTTCCAAAGCCCTGTCCGCAACTCCTTGTCGTCATTGAACATCCGTGCGAATTGGTAGCTGTGGTCCAGGACGCCCATCAACCGAAGTAGATGCTCAGGCGGGATTGTATTGTAGACTTCGTCGTTGCGGAGGAGATCGTTCGTGGTCTCTATTAGCAGCAGTTGGAGGACACATTTCACGATAATCTGTCGGAAGATACGACGTCGCTCATTCAGCGATATCCTGGTACCAGCCTTAGAGTTCTCGCTATTGGGAGACAACGGGGCAGGAACCAGAGCTTGCTCGTTCGCATCTGTGCCGGCGACGTCAGGAGAGTCGTGCAAGTCAGATTGGCTGCCATCAATCTCAACCCGTAGGCTCTCATCGAATAGCTGATGAGGGGTTGTTGTCCTAAACAACTTGACGAACGTGAGCGCTATTCGCTCCCAACGAGCTGCGCTGAGCTTTTTGACGTTGTTTTCGAGCAACTGTTGCAAGCACGAAGTCCCTATCCGAGCCAATGTGTCGTTCTCTGCAAAGCTTATGAGTAACGCTGGCGTATAAGCACTTGGAGACTGACCTTGGCATATGCAGACACAGAGCAAGTCTAGCAAGCCATCGAGGAATCGTTCGAGAGTTTCGAAATAGAACGTGTAGAGATCGATGAGGTTCCGCAACGCCTGGATCATTGTCGTTGACAGCCACACGCTCATGTCCTCCTGGGTACTGAAACGTGACAAATCTTGACTTGACTTGAGCACTGCAAAGATGGGGAACAGCAGCTCTTGACAAACGGTGTCCCAGAACTCGACTGGATATGTCGAGCCGTACGTCTTTAGGGTGTTGAAGAGGGAGTCGAGTGCCCTGTAGCGGGAGTGAGCTCAATGTCAAGAAGAAACGAAAAGTAGACAGCACGCACAACCGCCGCACTTCCAGATCTTCACCGTTCATGATGACATCGTAGAACCCGAAGAGCACAGGAAACCAGTACTTGATCATGGGGTCATCGGTCGAGGAGTGGTTCGGGTCCTTGAAGCCACATTCGGGCGACTCCAGCATCGTCGGGATGAGCCCACGGAGCATTGCGATAGCAAGAAGACTGATCTTCTGGTACTTGCTGACTTTGCAGAAGTCGGTGATGCATACCGTCAGATCCGCAAAGGAGCCATGGCGAACGATAGAGGGGAAGTGCTCCTTGTTCAACCGGGTGACAATCTCGAAAGCCGAGCTCGCGATGCGTTCCGTTGCAGCCTTGGACGCAGCGGAGAATACAGCGAACATTGTTCTCCATCCAGACCGAAGGTTGTGCACCCGTGCTTGGATCATTTGTTGCAAGCATTGCAGGACCTTGAACAACGTCAGGATGCTTGTGCAAGGTGATCATCAAAGAGTGTACTCGCCATATCACGAATATCTGGGTTTGAGTTATGAATCATGGTATACTCGAACGGCCGCAGGAAGTCTTTCTGGAACTTGAAGTGCGGTAACTCCTCCTTCTCTAAGAAGCGCATGGCCAGTTGACGGAGCGCGTCAAGCGCGAAGAACCCGACGTGGGGATTCTTGTGGCAGCAGACCTGATTGAAGTGTTCGCCGAGGATCTCCCACATGTTGGACCACTCCAGACGAATACGGTTCATGTTGTAGTACGAGATCTCGACCAGCTTCTGCAAGCTGAATAACCGCGGATGTTGCGACATGCCAGAGGATTGTATTTCTTCCCACGAGACATCGCACAGGGCGCGAACGAAATCCACGATTGCAGTCTAGGAAGGGCGTCAGCAAATGAATAGAGCGTGTCCGAAGTGGCGACTTACCCCCGAGAGATAGTGACTGAGGGAGAACACCATATCTGCAGCGACTGTAATGTGTGTTGACCGACTCTCGTTAGCTAGCTCCTCCGTCGGAGGTTTCCGGGAGCGTCTGGATGCGGCAAGCTCAGAGGGTGTAGACAACACTGTTAGAACGAAGACAACCTACCCTTTCCTGTTTGCGTCGGGAACCTCCACCCCACTACTGATGAGCTGCATGTGCTCCAACTGGCTGACGCAAGTGAGCACGTCCCGCCAAGACGCCTTCAGCTGGTTGCCTTCGGTGACCGCAACGTCAAGCAGAGTCTTGATTGCCTCCATATTCTTCGTCTTCATCTCGCCCAGATTGTTCAGGAAAGTGAATTTCGTGAGCGTACTAACGAAGGCGTTTCGCTGGAGCTCGAGGTCGAAGAAGCAAGCTATGTGGATGGCAGCTTTGAATCCCTCCAGACAGAGTTCCACAATTTCGAGTTCATCCGTGTCTTGCAGAGGCCCCGAAAGACCGGCGAGGAAGGGAATCCAAGCAACTTCGAACATAGGGCGGACGTGGATGAAGTGCGAAGCACTGAAGAACTGCTCGGTGCCCTTCGTGCTCTTTCTCTGGGAACGCATGAGAGTACGGAAGAGGGCCTGGTCGCGCATACATTGAGTCTGATATTTCAGATATAACTATGAGTCACGTACCTCAGTCTTATTCGCCATGTTGTTCGACTGCATCATGTACTGCTCCTTCTGCAAGTCTCGGCCGACTGTCGCCAGAACACCTGCGATGCCAGGACCAGGCATAACGACAGTGGGTGCCTCGATCTCGTCCTTCATGCGAATCTCGTTAGTGGTGATGTCGTCGTAAATTGCACTCAAGAACTCCTCAGGCAAATCTTGGCCATCGTTGATGCCGCGATTGTTCGCGATGAAGCCTTGCTTCGTCATCCTGTTCTTGACCTGTCGGCTGTGCGCATCCGTGTTAAGCATAATAGTCGAGAACGCCAGTACATAGGCGGTGTCTGGAGGATACGCGAGTTATGCGTCGTAAGATGTCGTATAACGCGTTGACTCGTACCAGCATTTGCGAACACAGTCATAGGGTTCCCGCTCATATACCGCTCAGCGAACTTCAGCATGAACCGATCGATCTTCTGGGCTTCACCCGGGAGACGGAAAGCTTGAAGGAATTGCCGTAACGCATCCACGAAAGGCATGTTGCTCAGGTCTAACATGTCGACGAACGCATGCATAATTGCGATATTCTCCGCGTCACTGAATCGAACATCAGCATCTTCGGGCGTGACATGATGTCAATATTTACCCTTCTCCGAGGTACTCGCCGATGGCAACCTTGGAAAGACCGTCGGTCTCGAGCAAGAACCGCGCGATGTCCTTGGGTTCTCTACTAGGGATGAACCCAGTCTCGAGGAAGAAGTCGACACCCTGCACACGCATTGGTCAATCGTTGGATGGTCAAGGGACAGCAGCATGCCACCCACTCGCTTAGGCTTGAAGTTAAACTTCTTGATGCCCTCCAGCAACGTGGTCTTCTTCTGCTTCGCGCTCTCGAACTTGGACGGGTCGTCTGCTAGCTCGGGCGTCTGCCCGCGACTTACGTCCGCCCCTCCGGGAGAGAGCCGGTCAGTCGAGATATCCGGAGTCAGCGTGTCCCGCCGCGACTCCTCCGCCTGCGAGCGCGTCGTTGGGTCCTGCGTTTGTTCTGGGGGCGAAGTGCTCGCGGTGCCCCAAGCGACAAGGGATTTGAGGGCAGCGACGAGGCACTCGAGGCCCTGCCTACGGAGCTGCGCTTCCGAGTTGCCGATGGTGGAGGTGTCGACGTTGCCCGGGACCGACAACGCTGCAGTACTGAAGGATGGGGGCACCTGCGTTCCCTGCTGTGACTTGGTCTGGGGCTGCAGAGCTGGGCTCGTTGGGTCGTTGGCCTTCTGAGGTGCATGGGAGACTGGCGCGGTTCCGATCTTCGAGATAATGTTCATGAAGCTGCACATATAATGAGCACACCTACCGACAATTCAATTAGAATGCTACGTACTGCTCGTAGATGTTGTCTGCCGCCTCGCTATCGCAGTCATAGTTCAAGTAGATCTCTACGAGAGCCTCGGGATCCTGGCACAAACGTTGTAGCATACTGACGATCATGGCCTTCTGCTTGAGAGTCGACGTCTTCATCTCCAGGATCGGGATGAAAATCTCGTGCAGGAGCACTTCAATCTCTTTCTGCATCGAAGAGGGCTTAGAATTAACAAGCGCGAGTCGTGTTGGAGAAAACTCACCTTGAGCTTCGTGCGCAGGCCCGAGACGACTCTCCAGAAAATCTCTACGCTAATCTCGAACACTTGAGGGACAGGACTAACAGCATTCCTACTCAAGCACAAGCAGAGGTACTGGCTAGCCGCCTGAATGAAGGGTGTTGCTTCGTTCGAGGATGAGGAGTAGATGATTGCAGATGGCGAAGCGAATATATGCATATGCGAGTTGAGTATCATGAGCACCAAGTGAAGCGAGAGCAGCTTCGACCGCATTGAATGTGACTTGAGGTCGCGCTCGCTGCGGGGATTGTCAGGATTGTAGATACGAGGGTCCCAACTAGTCGACTTGCCTCTCGCTATTCAAAGGCTTCATCGTCAACTTACACAGCGCCCTGAAGACAAGGAACGCGTCCTTGATGAACAGGTCATTGGTGGTGAGCTGCCTACCCCCTGGGCCTCCAAGATCCTCGTCCTCCTCGGGAACTGGATCGCCGGACGCAGAATCTGAAGGTTGTCTGTTGCATGGTTTAGATACGGCCAGGATACACAGATGGCACTACCTACGCTTTATGATGCGAGCCATTCGGTACTCCATTCGATTGCGTTTCTGCCGCGTTCTCACCTAATGTCTCCTCGGTAGCGTCTGTATGAGCCTCAGACGCCGCGCTTGAAGGCGGTTCGGGGTGCTCCTGTACCAAAGTGGACCCAGTTTCGTCCGTACCATTGATCGAAGGGCTTTGCGGTGGCATCGGCAGCGAATTACGAGGGGACAGCGTCACAGAAGGTCGCTTCGATGACCGAGCGCTCTCTCCCTCGCGGTTGGACAAGCTTGTTGTAGATTCCGACGGTGGGAGGGAAGAAGAGCCGACCTTGCACCGTGCGAAGACATGGTTGACCATCTGAGTAAGACCACCTTGTGCTACCATCTGGTTGACTGGGTCCGCGCTAAGTAGGAAAACATTGTAGACAGTGCGGACAGCCTTCAGCAAGGAAGATTGGTGAACCAGGACCGTCGAAGAGAGGACAAGCGAAAGCAGGGCCTTGACAATCTGCAGAGAAACCGTCTCTGGAGTACTTTCAGTATGGCACGACGTGATGGTGTGAACAACGAGGTCAACAAGGGAAGGTGGCGGCTGTGGTGCTTGAGAGGACATGGAATTACGAGAATTGGGGCCGGGTGACGGAGGGGGTGAAGAGGGCGCATGGGTGGAAGAGGACTCAACAAAGAACGAGTATGAGATGAGTTTGGAGATGCAGTCCAAGCTTGCGATCATCAGTTTCTCGTTACGGGTCTCACAAGCTAGGCGCAGCGGCTCGAAGATCTCTCTTGGCTTGTCTCCTCCCTGTCCCGACTTTACCATCTCGAGTGCGCGGTGAACGCTCTCGCGGAGAGGCGCGGAACGCTTGGCCTCTTTCGACGCGGCGATGGTCTCCAGAGCCGATGAGATGAGAACGACGGAGACAGTGTGGCCCTTGGATATAGTAAGCGAGCGTTTGTGAGTCGAGTCGACAGACGGACGCGAAGGAATGCGACCGTTTGGTGTCGCCGGCCTGCTATCCGTGGAGGGTCTGCCATGACCATTTGTGGTGCGAGGGGAGCTGGGGAGATTTGGAAGTACATGTGGGCGGCGAGCAGCGGGAGACGCAGGATTGGAAGGAACCGGCTTAGCTGGAGGCGTCGGAGGGGGCACACTATCGTCAGTGTCCTGAGCGCGCTCAAAGGAAGCTTTGGGTTGCGCGATGACTGCTTGTTCCACTTGTACCGGTTCGGGCTGGTGTATGCCATTAGACGGAGACGTGGTATATTGTGGAATGGGGACAGAAGTCGCGTCGTTCGTAGGAAGTGTAAACCTGGCAGCAGGCTGGTCATACTCAGGAGTAGGTGAGTTGGCCCGCGAGTTATCCGTCGACCTGGCCCTGTTCTCGTCTACTGGGTCCCTTAACGGAAATGCGGCCATGATACTTGGCGGTGGTTCATCATGGGGAGGAGGAGAAGGAGGCAGAGGAATAGCGGATGCCTGAGAAGACTCTGCGGTATCCATGGCGAGCCCGACGTCGTCCTTCGAAAAGTCGAAGTCGTCCGTACGTGTCGAGCTCACAGGCGAGCTTGACGAGTGTCAGTTCGCGGTCGCGGACGAAGGGCAGTGTGTCGTCGCTCATCACGGGACCAGTCGCTCGATCCGGTACTGGGCGCAGCGATCGAGATCCACTTGGTACCTCAGCGCGCCGAGCTCGTCTATATTCTAATCTCTGCAATTTCTCTGTGCTTGGCCTCCGACCTCATCTACTCTACCTCGTTGACCCAACCTCCCCGTCTTTGTCCTAGAGACAACATGTCTTCGATAGGTCCAATCCCTGATGGCGCGTCTGCCGCCGTCTTGAAGCCCTCCGAACCAATGCCAGACTTTGCAGTCTCGGTTCAAGGTCCGAACTTCGACGAAGAGATGACTCTGCACAAGCTTCTTGCAAGCTACCAGCGAATCGGATTCCAGGCGAATAGTCTGGGGAAGGCTATTGACATTGTCAACAAAATGGTGAGTATCTTCTGCACTCACGTATGAATCGCGGTCTCAAAATACTTTAAGCGCAAATGGCGACTATCCGATGAACCGCTCACGGAAGACGAGTCGGAAGACTATCGTCCACCGGAGGTCCGAGCGCAGACGAAATGCAACGTCTTCCTCGGCTACACTTCCAATCTCATCTCATCTGGACTGCGCGAAGTTATCCTCTATCTCGTAAAACACAAGCATGTGAACGCAATAGTGACCACTGCCGGAGGTATCGAAGAAGACTTTATCAAATGTCTCGGCAAGACGTACTTGGCAGACTTCAACCTGGATGGCGCAGACCTGCGAAGACGAGGGATGAATCGCATCGGAAACCTCATCGTGCCCAACGACAACTACTGCAAGTTCGAGGATTGGCTCACGCCTATCCTCGACGCCATGCTTGCTGAGCAAAAGGAGACCGGGCAAGTGTGGACACCGAGCTCCTTCATTCGGAGACTGGGAAAGGAAATAAACAACGAAGAATCTGTATATTACTGGGCATACAAAGTGAATAGATATCCTGTGCACGACCGCACGAAACTCGCGCTGAGCTCATTTCATGTAGAACGACATTCCGGTCTTCTGTCCCGCGCTCACCGATGGCTCCCTCGGAGACATGATCTATTTTCACTCGTTCCGCAATCCTGGCCTTATCGTGGATATTGTGCAAGATATACGCAACTTGAACGAGCTGTCACGAAGGTCGAAAAAAGCGGGGATGATAATCTTAGGAGGTGGCGTCTGCAAGCACCAGATTGCGAATGCAATGCTCATTGTAGGCCCTCTCTACTCTACGCCTTAGGTGTGCGTGTGCTGACTCCCCACCAGCGTAACGGTGCTGACTACTCGGTGTATATCGTAAGACTTCATGGTACTTCCGACGTTTCACGGATCACCGATCGCTCATGTAGAACACCGGGCAAGAGTTTGACGGCTCAGATTCTGGAGCTCGGCCAGACGAGGCTATATCGTGGGGCAAGATCCGAGCAGGCTCGGAATCGGTCAAGGTCTATCTCGCCCGCTTACACGAGCTAGACGTGGTCTGACATGCGCGCACAGGTTTTCGCAGACGCAACATTGGTGTTCCCACTGCTTGTAGCAGCTACGTTCGCCAAACCCGAATCTCAGTCATAGAGCGCGACACAGCACTCCGAAGTAGTCCTGTATCCATTACGCGGTGCATTGCAGACAGCAAAACAAGAAAGCAAGGAAAGCCAAAGTAAGACAAAAGTGATGTACCCGGATCCGCAGCATATGCACACATGAATCCCCCGACCTCCCGATGGATAAGCACGCCTTCCTCACGCTCTCAACTGGTTCGCTCGGACTCCATCGCATAGGGCACGACTCGTGCCATGAGCATAGAATGTTGTTACTGAGATTGAAAGCTGCCAGACATGGTCCGCGGTTGATCCGTACAGGGATCGCAGAAGCAGGTCTGTGAACGTCGGCATAAAGCTCCCCTCAAGCGGCAGACTCTGAGCGCGGATATGTCAGTAGGAGCATTATACCTGACATATCGATTGACCTTCCCACGTACCCTTGGAGATCTCGCCCCGCCATAATATCAGGTCGTCCTTCATGAGTTGTAGAATCATCAGCGCGTCTTCGATGTTTGACATTGCCGTCGACGCATCGGCTACCGCTGCAGCAACTGCTTCGTCGAACGCATGCTTCGCAAGGTGGCACGCGCGCTCGGGGCTCCGCATGATGTCGTGGAAGTAGACCGCGAAGTTGAGGGCCAAACCAAGGCGGGTAGGGTGCGTTGGAGGGAGAGTGGCGAGCGCATGTCGGTACGCGAACTTATAGGCTTCCAATGAGGCCTTGCCCAGTTCCTCTTGTGAGTTTAGTCGAGTGAGCTCGGCAAGATATCGATAGTAGTCCCCTCGCCTGTAGCACGTCAGAACATATCCGGAGACCACGGCCCTACGACCGTATGACGTACATCTTGGAATAGAAGACCTTCTCTTCTCCATCGCTTGCGGCGGGTATCAACTGCTTCTCAAGGAGGTCAACAACGTCTCTGCAGAGTTTGTCGAGGTCTCGCTCGATCCGATCCTTCTGCACGCGCATGAGCTTGACCTGACGCCGCGTAGACGAGAGCGCCTCCTTCTTCTGCAGCGCGTCGATGGTCCGCCAGCTCGCCCGCAAGGTTGCGGTCAGATTCTTGTACGCTATCGACAGCAGGTTACGTTCATCGATGGTAAGCTGAGCGTTGTGGTCGTTGATGATGTCCTTAAGCTGGGCGATGACATCTTCGGTATTATGATGCCCGGAACGGGACGCAGGTCTGTCATACGTGTCTCGGGCACCAGACGTATGCACACGTACCGTGATACCGTTCAGCTTGATCCGCGATCTTCGCAAGGAACAGACAGTCTAGTCGTGAGAGCGAGATGTCCATTTGCTGAATATCGCCTATTGAGATTGGGGACAGACACGCGAAAACGTTCGAGTTGGATTCAGCCTTCAGATGCGGCACCATAGTCAGTGTTGAAGAGGGGATGACGAGTCGTCAGCCGGGTAGAGAGACGACGTCCGCAGCTAGGCACGTTACGAGCTACCTTATATCAATCCTCGACGACAGGGCAAAGGGGAACAGGTGGCAGGCGTGCCGCCTGAGACTATCTACGAATAAGGCATTGATGAGGCTATGAGCTAATGACCGGCATGAGACTGCATCTTGAGATTGTGGCTCTACAGGCTGTGGGGAGCAAGGCCATGAGGTATGAAGGGATCGAGATGACCGTACGGCGCACCGTTCAGTTGAGTCGTCGCGGCCTGCAACATGAGGCTTCTCCAGGGCGCCTAACAAGAGGCCCGTGCCCTTTTAGGCAACCGTCGTGGTTTGCGCTGAGGTGGGTGTGCTTCCCAGGCTGCAGCGCCGTTAGGGAATTGGAGACGCTTTCAGGGCCACCATCTCTCACCGCAAGATTGTGTTGTGACTCGTCATGAGGATTGCTCTGTAACACGAGTCCGGGATCATCCACCCTCGTTGCGATGGCGGGCCGATTTCTCCGAGCTATTTCCAGCTCAGAGACCAGGATCGACGGTCCTGATCTGCTTATACCATCGTGCTCACAGTCGTCTCACAGCAAAGTAGGCGTACCGATAAGTTGAGGTTACAATGGATAACACTGATACATGCAGTTGAGGTAGTACTATCGTTATCGTCGTTAAGCCGTTTAGTTTAGCCAGACCAGACAGCTCCACCCGGACTAGGGGAGGGAAAATTAGTGAAGTTCATCAAGAATGTATACTTGCGCCTTACGCGGTGTAGTTCTGTAGGTTGTTGTAGATGTTGACAGTGATGCCGGGGTCCGTGGGCTGGTAAGCACCCGGAAGAGCAATCTTCGGGGGGTTGGCGCTGCCGCCGCCTGTGATCTTGACCTGAGCGCAGCCAATGTACTGAGCAGGGAGAATGCGAGTCAGCACAGCTCTCCCGTTGTTTCATCACCTAGACTTACGAATTGAGCACCAGGGTAGCTCTGGGCGACGTGGAGGGCGATCTAGAGATTAGCTCATGTCAGATACTGATGTTACATCCTAGTATTATAAAACCCTCACAATCTCGGAACGGAGGAGGTACTCGCCAGCGGGGAGCGATGAGGGGATCACAACGCTGTGCTTGCCTGTAAAGCATAGCGTCAAATTCTGGGCTCGATGTTATGTCGTATTTTGTTGCATACCGCTGTTGGAGTTGACGACATCGGTCGCCCACTGCTGAGACTGAGCGTTCAGGAGACCGGACGAGTATATCTTCGTCCAAACGGTACCCTGACCATCAAACGACGCAGCGGTCGACGGTGCTTTGGCAATGTAGACCTGGACAGGGCCCTTGTGGCCACCAGAAATGGCGTCCTCACCAGTACGCTGGTCGTGCTGGTGCCACTCAAAGGTGATCTATGGGAGTTCAGTGAGGACTACGCGCCTGCAGCTCAGGCCAACATCTGCGTACGTTGGCACCGGCCGGTATGGACAGAGTCTGGACGTTGGCGCCGGAGAGACCATTGACGTTGCAAGTCAAGTCGGTCGAGGTGACGTCGGTGACAGGGTTGTTATTGGGGGGGACACGGATGTAGTTGTTCTGGCCCTCGTCAACCTAGAAGTTTGATTTCAGTGACTGATTTCGGAAAGTATCAGAGGAGACGTTACTCACGCCATTATCCCAGATATATTGCATCGTGACTGCGATGGCATAATTGCTTCGGCATCCATTCGCTTGCTAGGGCAGGGATAGTGACACTTACAATGGGCGTTAGCCGCAGCCGCAGCCGTGAGGACAGAGAGGATAGCGAGCTTCATGGCGAACAAATACAGCGGCGCGAAGAAGAGTCAAGGTATGGATTGTCTTTTATACTATAGGCCATGCCGAATGCCTGGCTCGGTCGCGCGAGCGATCGCTTCTTGCTTGTTCTCGAGGTTTTCGGGGATACGCTCTGGCGTGACCATCGCTTCTAGTGTGCACTTGGGAAATCGCATGGAGGCCGCCGACTAGCGAGACTACAATATGTGTGGGAGGAGGCGGTCAGATGGTGAAGCTCGCTGCCGAAGTTGAGGCGCACGATCTTGGCGAAGGATATACATCGGAGGCTATGTCTGGTCACAGGCGGTCGTTGACTACCTAGGGGAGAAGTCTTGTTATATCCCCTTAGAGATAGCTTCTACGCATCTGTAGTCTCCGACTGATGTCGATAGATGAGAAAGTTGCGTTTCGGGGACGAAGGAACGTTATGTGATCGTTTACCTTGATGACCCGATTCGAAAATGTATGCAGTAGCCACACAGAGAGGGAAGGGCGGCATCGCTTGCTGTCACTTGACAAGGCGTGATGATTTGTTTGCATGATATTGCCTGGGTGCGCACTGAGTGTGAATGACTGACCGAAGCAGACCTGGACATCTTCGGCAGAATCCCGTCACTGGACCGCGAAAATAGCGCGTGGAGAAGCTAGAACAGCCTAGCTTGTGAGCCTTGCCAAGACAATTTGCGTCTAACACTCAACGGAACTGAAAACAGACTCCGGAGAATCACAAACTCGAGGATAGGCTTGGCAGTCATCATTTCCTCGACTCAATTGCCTCCGACGTCAGCTTCGCTTCCGCCACGATCCTCGTGCACGTTGCGGATTGATGCGCCCTATGTCTGTTTCTCGATACCGCGGGCACTGGCCTGTTCATCATGCGACCATGAGCCTGTTGCGACACTGCATATGCCCTTCCCAAAGCTAATGTCAGTGAGATCACATTTCCGAGAGCAGTCAGTACTGACAGCCTATGGTTGGGTTTGCGGACCCAAGTGATAGTTACCAGCCCGTGTCTGCTCCGCTTACCACCCCTATTTCTTCCTCTGGTATATGCACCGTGACACAATCGTTGGCTACCTATGAGTGCCATAGTCACGAACAGGGTTTCGTGTCAAGCCTTGACCTAATGGCGCCCCTAGCTACCTAGAACACGATGCCAATGGCATCCACGCTACCTAAAGAAGAGGCGGCCTGCACTGGATACACGGGCAGATACGAATCACTCAACCCAGTCAACCCGCCATTTTCGTCTGAACAGATGTATCAGAACGACAGGTATCACGTCGGGCGGCGCACAAAGGAACGACCATTAGCCGTCGTGGACCAAATACCGTGCTGTCAATAGGTTGAGGCTTCACATCCCGAGTACGCGGACTAGAAATCTGTACGTCAGTCCCTTCATGATATCTTCAGCTACTCGTCTGCGTATTCGGTTCTCGACCACGATCTGCTGAGGCAGGAATCGATTTATTTGCGAAGGCAAGACGTTCACCATCCAAGCTGCTCGTAGGTCCAGTGTAACGGATCGTTCATTACCTTATCTTATCTACATAGTTAATCTACATCTTGTATCTAAATCTGGATCGTCATGGTGATCGGCGCTGATCCATCTGGATCCGCGCGACGTGGCGAAGGCTTCTCAGCCTTTCACCACGTCCACCATAGTATACGCCCTCTCAATCTAGAGATTGGTTCAGTGTACTTTGGACTTGTGTGAATCAGGCGACACCCGTATCATTACACTTTTTTACACTTCATACCACGAATACGTGGGTTTCTAGATTGTATTGTGTGTTAGGCACCTACCATGACGGAACCCTCGACATCACACGCGACACACCGTGAGACCGCGAGCTCGACTCGAGCTTCGCCTCTGAGGCGGTCTCCCCAGACCCGGACGCTTCGTCAGGAAGCTCTATCCCCGGAGGTCCTAGCTCGTCTGGCAGACGTGCGGACTCACCCCGAACCGGCGCTCTCCCAAGGTCCGCAGGGACCCGCCGGTTCTCTGAGGACATAGCAAGTA